GGGCAGTGGAGGATGGCCCAAGTGCTTGGGCCCTGCACCCCATGGGAGACCAGGATAAGCACCTGGCTCCTGCCATCGGATCGGCGCAGTGCGATCCGATGCGATCACCATTGGAGGGTGAACCAACAGAAAAGGAAGACCTTTCTCTCTGTCTCTCTCTCTCACTGTCCACTCTGCCTGTCAAAAAAAAAAAAAAAAAATTAAAAAAAAAAAAAAGAATGGAAACATCCAACTAGAGGCCAGTGTTGTGGTACGGTGGGTTAAGCCGATGCCTGTGACGCTGGCATCCCATACGAGCACCCATTAAAGTCCTGGCTGCTCTGCTCTGATCCAGCTCCCTGCTAATGCACCTGGGAAGGCTGCTGCTGATGGCCCAAGTGTTTGGGCTCCTCACACCCAAGTGGGAGGCTTGCAAGGAGTTGCTGGCCCCTGGCTTTGGCCTGGCCCAGCCCAGCCTTGAGTCCTTTTGGGTAATGAATCAGGGGATGGAAGATCTTGTTTCTCTCTCTCTGTCTGTCCCTCTCTCTGTCACTCTGCCTTTCTTAGAGAGAGAGAGAGAGAGAGAGAGAGAGAGAAAGAGGTGGTAGGGTCTTCCATCTGATGGTTCATTTCCCAGATGGCTGGGCTGATCTTAAGCCAGGAGCCAGGAGCTTTTTTTGGGTCTCCCATGTGGGTGCAGGGGTCCAAGCACTTGGGCCATCTTCTACTGCTTTCCCAGGCCACAGCAGAGAGCTGGATCGGAAGTGGAGCAGCAGGGACTAGAACTGGTGATGCCGGCACTGCAGGTGGTGGCTTTACCCGCTATGCCACAGCACCGGCCCCTGTTCTGCCTTTCAAATAAGTACAAAATAAACGTTTTAAAACAAAACATCAGACCTGACTCCGGAGAGCTAGGTTCTACATCTGACTCAAGTGGTTGAGGATGTTGTTGGCGGATGCTGGAGAGTCCTATTCCTTCTCCAGATTCCCCGGATGTAAGACAGCAAAGGTCTTGTATAGGCACTGCTTCCATGACCCACGGCAAACATCCATGGCTCGTGAGCGTCTCCCACAGTACTGCAGGAGGTGGGAGATGGGTAGGAAACTCCACGAAGGACAATGGGTGCCTATGCATGCTCCGGCACAGGCCCAAGACCGAGGTTAGGCGCTGGCAACTGCTCTTGCCATCCACAGAGCTTTTGGAAGGACTGTTGGCACCGATCCTTTCGCTTTTCCTTTTCCTCTCCCCAGTGTACTGGCTTTTTCCTCGTTTGGGCGGCACTTGAATCCCGGCACCTCCCTTTCCAGATGTGTGGCCTGCTCACCTCTGATGGACACTTGTTCTCCCTCCTAAGCCATCGCTGGTCTCCTCTCCTGCCTCACTGTGCTTCTCTTCTGCCTGTGAAAGAGGCCCTGGCCGCAAGTCCACCAACCACTGCTGTTGACTGAACTTTGTAATTACAAAGGTGAGGCTTTTGGTATCTTGACTTGGGCTTAACAGTGCAACCCTCATTATTATATAATAACTGACTAGTCAGAACTTGCTCATCTATTCCTCCTCCATCTACATAGTTTTTTTATATATATAAAATTTAAGCCAGTTATTACCACTGCCCCTCGTTCCATGTGAATACAAGCCATTGCAGGTTTCAAGATGGCGCTGTTGATGGAGGTATTTCCCATGCTTGCTTCTGATCTACTTTGACTCCGTATTTTCCCCTGTTGGTAGCTTCCATTACACTCAATAGCCTCAGTCTCAAGTCCGAGGGATAAGATGAGGGGCCGGTGCGGTGGTGTTGCGGGTAAAGCCGCCATTTCCAATGCCGGTATCCCATATAAGCTCCGATTCGAGTCCCGGCTGCTCCACTTCCGACCCAGCTCTCTGCTATGGCCTGGGAAAGCAGTAGAAGATGGCCCAAGTCCTTGGGCCCCTGCACACACATGGCTCCTGGCTTCAGATTGGTGCAGCTCCAGCCATTATGATCCACTGGGGAGTGAACCAGCAGATGAAAGACCTCTCTCTCTCTGTGTATAATTCTTTCAAATAAATAAATAAATCTTAAAAAAAAAAAAAAGAAAGAAGCAAGGTAAATGAAGATCACACTCTCCCGGAGAAGGGACTATCCAATAGTGACTGTGCTAAAAGTGTGGTATGGTCACCAGTGGTGGGTGCCAGTGCTCCCTGGAGTTAGACTCATTCTCAGGGCAAAGCTGGCTTGTTGTGCAGCATCTCACACCTGTCCTCTTGCCCTCAGAAAAGGAGATTCCTACAGAGTAGTAGAGCGTGCAGAGCTAGAGGCATGACCACGTTCCACTTGGGTCATCTCTAATTCTCACCCGAGAGCCTTGGGTCTCTGTTTTCCTGCTGTTCAAAGTGTTCCCAAGAGGGCCAGAATATCCCTTCAAGAGCCCTCTGATGGAGGTAGTTATAGTGTCCCGGCAGGAGACTGTGTAGGAAGTGGTGCCCAGCGTGCTGTCCACCATTCCACGTGGATGAACACGGGGACCCATGTGTGAGGCATGTTCCTGTGGTGGGCATCCTCCATGAGACGTGATCGCAACTTGGCAAACGTTTCTTCCAGATGCTCTCCACAGCTTTCGGAAGGGCAGTCACCAGTTTCTAAAAAATGAAACACCTGCTTTGACATCCACGTGGCCACTGCCCGGAACAGAGCGGCACACGGATTTCCCGAAGCTGTGAAAGACGCCTGTTGTGCCAAAAAAAATGGCGCCTTGTGTTTACCCAAGTCCTGGCTAAATGGGGTGGATTTGGGAACACAAATCTGCTGAAAAAGTCTCCCAAGGCCAACATGATTAAAAACTAAGTTAGCTCTATGTCATTTATAAAGAATACAGAGTTGGCGGTAGGAAGCATGTCTCAAAGTCTCTCCCAGTTTTTCCAACCAATTAAGGCAATCAATAAGCCAAGTTCATTACAGATGAAACCAGTGACTGGCTTAAGAGCAGATGGCTGATTAAAGCAGATGGGAGGAAGATGATGTTCTAAGACGTCTAGGCTACGTGGCACTGTCATCGCCCTTGGGAAGAGTTCACTGCAAATGCCTCCAAAGAGAAACTCGCTTAAATATCCTATCTTCTCTCAGCATGCCTCACTCCGAAGGGTCCCAAGGAGGCGACTGATCCAGGTGCCCCTCAAGATGACTCTGACCAGCCCCTGCACTATTGCTCTTGACCTTCAAAAACCTGCAAAGGGACATTCCTCTTTAATTACCAGGGGGCTGCAAGGTTTCAAGGCCAAGCCAGCCACCAGGATGAGCTCACAGCGGGGAGGGCAGCACAGGGTGTGGCCTGCTGGGTCAGGGGCCCACGCCCTCCAGGGCCCTCTGCACAGCCCGGGCAGAGTTCTAAAGAGGGAATTCCTGTCTGGACACCGAGACGCAATGGCAAAGTTCACAGGGCTCGATGCTTTCCCACAGCGGAACATGTGTTTTTGTGGGAGGACCACACAGGAGTCAGGATCTCCTATGTTGTTTCCAGATCTGGCCTGCACTGGCTGTGTCAAATTAGAGTACCATGGCTGCGTTCGGCTGGGAGGCATTTAGGGCTCATCTCTGCTCGTGCCTCTGAAGCTCACTGCCAGGGATCCTGACGCAGTGAAAGCTGGGGTTTTGCTGAAGCTCTGACTTTTCCAGCAAGCTTCCAAGGCCACAGGAGCACAGCACCGGGCTCTGTGGCCTTGGGATGGACGGGCTAGCTGCTTAGGGGCCAGAGTCACTCGGCATAGGCTCTGCTGGCCAGGCAGTCTGTTACAGCAGCTTCCCTGCTCCGCCAGGGCAGTCCGAAAGCAGCCCTGGGCAGTAAGAGGACAAAAGTCGAAGTCGAAGTTCATTTGAGTGCCCACAGGTGGAAATCCAAACAGGAATTTCCCACCTTTTGAGAATCCAACTGCTTTTGCACCATGATACTTACCTTTTTTTTTTTTTTTTTTAAATTTTGACAGGCAGAGTTACAGTGAGAGAGACAGAGAAAGGTCTTCCTTCCATTGGTTCACCCCCCAAATGGCCGCGATGGCTGGCTGCGCCAATCAAAGCCAGGAGCCAGGCGCTTCCTCCTGGTCTCCCATGGGGGTGCAGGGCCCAAGCACTTGGGCCATCCTCCACTGCTATCCTGGGCCACAGCAGAGAGCTGGACTGGAAGAGGAGCAACTGGGACAGAATCTGGCGCCCTGACTGGGACTAGAACCCAGTGTCCTGGCACTGCAGGCAGAGGATTAACCAAGTGAGCCATGGTGCTGGCTCCATAAACTTATCTTTTAATTCCATTTTCCATGAACTTAATTCTTGAGAAGCAGAGAGCGAGCAAGTAAGTGTGCGAGCAAGGTCCCCTCTGCTGCTCCACTCCCCAGTGCCCACAGCAGCCAAGGCTGGGAGCCACTGGACCCAGGAGCCAAGGCTGGGAGCCACTGGACCCGGGAGCCAAGGCTGGGAGCCACTGGACCCGGGAGCCAAGCACTGAATCCTTTGAGCCATCACTTCTGCCTGCCAGGGTCTGCACCCCAGGGAAGCTGGAGGCGGGAGATGGGTCGGCTTCGGAGGTACATGATTACACACCGCTATCTTCTGATAATCTGTGCCAAGCCAGGAGGTGTTCAGCAGGGGATCATTAGCCCCTTTAAGGCCCAGCAAAGGTTTATAGCGACTTGGGGCTTGAATCCTTTACCACTTAACCACTACTTACTGCTCACAGCTGTGACACTGGGATGCTACCACTCTCCTATCTTTCTCCTAGGGTGCAGCTACACGCATAACCAAAGCCGAATCAGAGGACATGTAACTCAGGGTGCAACTGATACCAGGCACACTTCTTAACGTCCATTTATGAATCTGAAAGGCAGAATCAGGGACAGAGACAGAACACAGGAAACAAATTCTGCATCAGGCTCAATCAGTTGCACACTATCAGCCATGCTGTTTTGAAATGACCCTGCATATTATGTCACTATGTTTCCTCTAAGTAGCAAGCATCACATAAGAAAACAAAGCATGCTAAGAGATGACAGATGGGATACATTTTTAAAAAAATTTATTTGAAAGGCATAATGAGAAGGAGATATATACACACAATTTCCCATGTGCTGGTTCACTCCCGAAAGGCTGGGCTAGGTCAAAGCCAGCAGCCTGGAACTCCAGCCTGGTCTCCCACGTGACTGGCAGGGGCCCAAAGACTACAGCTGTCATCTGCTGCCTTCCTAGGTGCCTGAGAAGGAAGTTGGATTGGAAGCAGAGCAACAGCTGGGACTCTTCTAACAGGCTGATATGGGCTGATGGTGCTGCAGGTGGTGGCTTAATCCACTGCGTTACAATTCCAGCCCCAAAGAGCTACCTACTTCTGAGGGATATTTTAGGAAGGTTTTCGGTAACAGGAACAGCACTGCCTTTGGGAGTTTCTGAAGCTGGCAGGATGCAACAATGGAGTTTACGACGGCCGGACACAGTGCCTGCCTCTATATACTACTTGAAAGAAGAAACATTCCGTCAACAAAGACATAACCAACAAGTTATATTATTTTTTATTCATGTTAGAATTTCTATCAGTGTTTGAACATTAATATTTAGAGAGTTTGTACATTTTCACCTTCCAAGGTTTAAAATGAGAACCACACTAGGTCACACATGGGAACTAATCAACATTTCACAATCGCTTGGAATCTCCACTCGCTCTCACTCTCTTAACACTGTTAAACATTTGCTTCTGCTTGCTGTGGTTTACAATGACAAGTGTGCCTCACTCGTGTCTCAGCAAAGTTCCAGACATTATGGATTCATCACATATAAATTCTTTAAAAATATACTTCTGTCAAAAGACTTGATGACTACTATGTACACTACAAAAATAAATTTTCATATAAATAAATTATATGGCATACTTTTATCTTTGTAATTGAAATGACACAAAACTCATTTCCACCCAAATCGGCAGACAATGAGACCCAGTTTGAATATTTATTTCCTTTAAACTCCTTACTCTAAAAGCTACCATGAGTCCTTAATGTAAATGTCATATACTCTGAACTATTTAACATTAGTAAGCACTCTATACAAATAAAAATTCTGTTCAAACGTAAAACATAGCTGTAATAGTGTTTCCAATAGAAATAAAATCCCTGCATTTTTTGTTATAAACTGGCATGACAAATACTGTAGGAAAACATTCTTATGATACAAAATTATAAATATCAGCAAAGATTTTTTTAAAAAAATTAAAACATCCAAATGAACAAACGAGACAGACAAAATAAAACTACTTTAAAAAGAGAGAGAGCGAGCGCAAGAATTCTAGTTGCCGGCCAGCCCCTGAGTTCTCCCTTTGTCAATGTGACTCAAGGAGAAAGTTCTATGCTGTGCAGAAATCAGGGGCCACATGAGCTGGTGCACCCCACGGGCTGAGCTCAGGAAAGGGGCGAGGGCACGCCAGCCCCGGGCGGGGGGGAAGCTGACTTGGGAATCTTGCATCGTCTCTCTTCTCCATGCAGGACTGCGGTTCTCTGAGCAGAGATGGGTATTGGGCTGACACGGGCACCAAGCGAGCAGCAGAGGGGGCGGCTGGGGACCCAGCATATTAGTGCACACACCTGGCAGCCCTGTTGGCTTCCAATCAGCATCTTATGGGTCGGTGGCGAGTATCAGGTCTGAGGTCACTATGCTGCTGGCAGTAGTGGGGGCCCGAGGCCCGTGTCTTAAGATTTTTCGGTGCCTACCAGGAATTGCTGTGTGTGTGCGCTGCCTACAGTAGCTTAGGCTTCGGCTGGGGGGGGGGGGGCGCTCAGCCAGTCCCTCTGATTTCTTGGTGTTGAGACAGAAGGGGAGCTGAGCACCCATTGCTTGCCTGGCATTTGCTGGTCTCTGGCTCAAAGATGAAGAGCACCCAAACCCCAGAGGAGGAGAACAGAATCAATACAGAAGCAAATCTTGATGCCTGGCTGAGAGCCACCCTTCAGTGGGGTGCATGCAACTAGCACCCCTCAGATCAATCAACGCCCACCCAAAGAACACCAGGAGTGGTGAGAGGAGGGGGCCCAAGTTTCCATCTCTTTGGCAAGTGTGCACCCGCGACATCAACTCACGGAGAGAAGAGCCCCTGTGGAACTCACACCCTCCAGGCCTTGGGACCCTGGGTCACTGAACTGAACGCTCACTACCTACTAGAGGTGCAAACTGACCCAGAAAGCCCGGCTCAGCTGTCCTCTCTGTTCCAGAGAGGCCCGGATGAACAGAGTAGGTTTTGCTGTCTGGAGAGGAGGGCCAGCCTTGCAATCTGTTCTTAAATTGTGTGTGTGTGTGTATGTGTCTGTGTGGGTCCTGAGAGGGCCCCGACACTGCCAACTGCCTCATGGCCCCGGTCAAGGCTCGCTAGTTAATTCTCTGATGTCAGTGAAGACGGACGGATGTCAACTCTACCCCGAGGTTCCAACATCCATTGCACCACGGTCCAAGCTGGGGCGGCTGATGGCACCCAATGCCCTCGGGAGGTGGCACGAACATGAAGGGAGTCTGGTTTCTCCTGGGCACCTCCGGAGGCGGATGTTTGGGCCAGCGCAAAGCAACCAAGAGTTCCTGACTCTTGCAGGCTGATGGGGCGGAGCCTGCTGAGGGTTACAGACAGGAAACGGGAAGAAACAAACAACAACAATCCTCACAGTACAGTACATCGGGAGACCGCACACACCACCCCTGGAGAAGCTGCTGGATTTGACATGCTTTCTTCATATCTGCTCATCAAATGACAAAACGTTACCACGCATAGCGTGTCTGAAAGTTAACAGTAACATTTGATACTACCACAGGGTTGTGATATGCAAATTTAAAATATTTTAAACAGGAACCTTTACAAAATAATCCTATTACATAAGCAATATTTGCATAGAATTATACAGGTAAATTATACAATATTTAAGCAGCAGCAACATGCTGGAAATTGAAGACTAGGTTAAGCTTGGTTGTGGCACAGGGACCGACGCACAAACAGGGAGGGGCCCGCTGTGGCCTCGCCCCCTCCCCGGCCCCGCCCCCGCCCCAGGGGCAGGAAGGGAGAAACCCCAGATGGCGCCACTTTACACGCTCTGTCCTATATTACATGTGTACACCTCTTAAATATTTATAGAAATATTTCACAACATAATACAATCGGTTACAGTAACAGTGAACTGCTGTCTGGCCCTCGCGGCTTCTCCTTCCCGCGGCTCCAGGCAGTTCTGGAAAGAGGTGGGGGTGGGGCTTCCAATCTTTGGCCTCTTTGCTTCAGATTTTAACGACCCTTTAAAAGGAAACAAACAAAAAGGAAAAAAAGAGTAAGTACCAGGTGTACAGGTCCACGCTCATAAAGAACAGACTGGCCAAAGTGATGGATCTATGGCGCTGGGGATCCGGATGCCAGGAGGTGGGCTGGGCTGAGGGCATGGCAGGGCTCCGGAAACCGGATGACTGCTCAACCCCAGCAAGTGGTCCTCCACTTAGGATGGTCCCACTTATGCAGTTTGCCACTTTCCTGGGTTTCTTGCGGGTGGTCTAGGCATTCCTGCATTTGCAGGTTCAGGGAGCCTGTCCTGGCTCTTCAATAATAAAGACTTGTAAGCAGGGGCTGGCACGGTGGCATAGCACATTTAGCTCCCACCTGGCAGGCTGGCATTCTACATGGACGCCAGTTTGAGTCCTGGCTGCTCTAGTTCCAATCCAGCTCCCTGCTAATTATAATGTGCCTGGGAAAGCAGCGGAGGATGGCCCAAGTGTTTGAGGCCCTGCCACCCTCGTGGAGACCTGGATGGGGTTCCAGGCTCCTGGCTCTTGGCTTCAGCCTGGTATAGCCCCAGCCTTTGTGGCCACTTGGGGAGTGAACCAGCGGTCGGTTTAATTACCTCTCCGCCAGCTCACAGTGGGGGAAAAGAAACCCATCTGGAGGTGGGCTGCTCCCCCCCGGATGGCAGCTTGGACGCATTCCAGGGTCGGGTCTGGGATGTGCTGATGCCCCTGGGGGCCCCCAGCCGCCGGTTCTCGCTGCACACACCTCAGTTGGAGCTGCCTCCCCGGGGCTGCTCCTCACACTCCACGTCCTGTAGCTCTATGACCTCCACCTTGGAGTCCCTCCTCTCACAGTGGACGTGGAAAGGCACGTGGGGATCCTCGAACAGCCCGTGGTCAGTCTCTGGGTAGCCCTCGTAGCCAGGGCAGAGGCCCCCTCGGGGGTTCCGCCCCGGTCCGGGCCCCGGCACGGGTGGGGGGTGCACGGCCACAGTCACGGAAGCAGACGCCGTCACAGTGGTGATGGGCTGGCGGTAGCCCGGCACGCTGCCGGCCCCCGCAGCACTCGCCGTGTTCCCGGGGTGGTGAGGGCGCGCCCCGCGGGGGCCCGAGCGGTCCCTGTGGCTGGGGCCAGCGTGCCCTTCAGTAGAAACTTCAAAAGCGTCTCTGCGCGGTCTGTAGGGGGGCGGCCGCAAGCCCTCTCTGGGGGCATCCCTGCGGGGTTGCTGGCTCTGCCGGCCGGGGGACAGGGGCCCTGAGTCCAGGTGGGGCTGCTGTCGAGGGTTGAATGGCGGGTGATGGTGATGTCGCGCTTCGGGATGGACCACCTGCAGAGGGTGAAGGCTGGTTAACACGGGCCGGCGAGGGGGCAGGGAGTCCCCCCGCCCCACCCTGGCTCCGGAAAGCCCAGGCAAACAACAGTGCCCTTCGACCTACCAAGGAAAAACCCCTTCCTTGAACGACCTCCAGGCCATGGAAAGAGAGCTTTCTTTGGATCCTAGTCCCAGGCCCTCTCCCAGAACAGCTGGCTGGACACGTAGGGCTGTTGCCCATAAAAGCAGGGCTGTGGTCAGAGAGCATCCAGCTGTTCCCCTTCCACCATCTGCTACCCCACCCTGCTCCGTCTACCAGACCCTGAGCAAAAAAAACCTCCACCGCTGTTGGCTCTGGCAGGACTGCCTACATCTACACCGTCGGGCACAGTGGTGGCGGTTTCCATCTCCGCGAGCCACAGGACCCGAGCTCACGGGCCACGTGTGGCCGGCAGCTCCTGCACGGGCCAGTGCCCACGGCGCTTCCACCATCGGGCAGCGCTGCACTGCCCGACTGTTAGGAATCTGCTTTCTGGGTCTAACACAAAGCACGGAGCAACACAGCGGCCACGTCAATCACAAGGAGCGTGACCAACTTCAAAGTGGTTCAGCTTGTACCTATTTTTAGGCTCCTGCTGAACAAAAGCAGATTCACGCTGCAACTCAGCAGGCATCGTCATGGGGGGTGAGGGGAGGACAATTCGGGTTATTCAAGGAAGGGCTGCTCTGGCCTGGGACTGGAATACCCGTTTCCTGGAGGGACTGCAGGGGGCCCTCAGGGCAGCAACATGAGCCCCACAGCCTTCCTGGGTCTTCCGTGCGGAGTGCCTGGTGGTGGGGGTGGCAGCGGTGGGGTGCATGTACGTGTGCGTGTGCGTGTGCCCGCCTTGGGGAGCACGGGGTGCAGGAAAGGCTCCTGCTGACTCCCCAAACAACTGCGGGGTGTGGCTCTCAGCTCCTCTGCTCCCTCCAGCCACCTGGAATAGGAGCTTGGAGGCACGGAACCTTATAGGAAAATCTTAGAATAATAAGAAGTGAAAAATACAACAGAAACGAGAGGGGGAAAAAAAAAGCCAAGAGATTAAAACCATCTCTCTGCTGGTAATAAAAAAAGACACAAAAAAGTATCATTCTAAAACCATAGATGGTTGAGAAAAAAGGAGACAGAAGGGGTGAGGTGGACAGGCAGGCTTTACCTCTGGCCCTTGAACTCACACTGGATTGACCCCAAGTGACACAGAGCAGCCTCACCCCGCCCTGCCCTAGAGGGATCCCGGTGAGTTCACACCTTAGGAAGGAAGGTGACATTCTTATAGTTCAGGATGGTTCAAATGTTGGTGACGTCATTATGTATGTATCTACGCTTGGGCCACTCAGAGCGAGCAGGGGCTCCGCCGGGACCACCAGATCCATGGCCACGGGTGGGACGGACCCTCCCTCATGCCCTAGGGCGACTTACCGTGGAGCGGGCGAAGACTGGGTTTTCCGTGGCTTCCACGATCACCTGGTGGGCGGGGCCCCCAGCGCCCCGCTCAGCCTCGTAGTGCCGAAGCTCCTCGCTGAGACCCGACACGGTCGTCTGGGAGCTGTATTCCGAGTCAGAGGAGTCGGAGTTGTTGGTGTGGCTGGGGGGCACGGCAAACCGGACCACGCCAGGGGGTGGCTCAGGGGAAGGGGTGGGCAGTCGGTGAAGACCGTTGGCGGGAGACACCTGTTTGAGGGAATGCCACAGGAGAGGGGTTAGGGCCCGCTCACCTGCTGGCCACACACCCCAGGTTCAAAGCACGGTGCTATTCGGGGGTCTGTGTGCCCTGCCTGGGGCACCGCATTCCATGCTGCATCTGCCTCCCCTCGTCTCTGCCACGAGAGACACCCTCAAGTCCCACGGCTGGAGCACAGGAGGCTGGATGTGCACTTTTTACTCTCTGTAAGCCCAGAGAGTCCTCTTGAAGGGGATGTTTTCATTGATGTGGACTCAGGCTGCTAACCGGTTGGTTTAAAGAAAAAAAAAAACATACAAAATGAAGGCAGCCCTGTACCCCACCCCTCCCAAAGGTATTAAGTGGGAAAGAGGAAAAAAAAGAAAACAAAAAAAACAACACAGAAAAACCCATCGGGATTGACTGAGACACTTCCGAAAGCCATAAACAAAGCAAAGGAGGAATGAGCTGTTCAGCATCTAAGTGCGGAGTGGCTCCAGGAAAGGCGGCACTCGGGTGGCCCGGGGACCGGACCTCACGACCAGCGTGGCTACTGACCTCAGGATATGGTCCAAAGAAAGACAAGAGGACTGGCAGCAAGACCAGTCCGTTGAGAACGCCCAGGATCGTCAGGATGGCCAGAACAGCAAAGAAATACCTGGAAGACAGAGGGGAAGCGGGAACGTTCGCTGTGACCGCCGGAAATGCTGCCCGGGATCCACGCCAGTGCCCCAAATAAACACCACCCACTGTGCCGAAACCCGCCGCCCAGCAACGACTGCTGGGATTCAGCACGGGTGTGTGTGTGTGTGTGTGTGTAACCTTGTGACTTTCACTCCTACAGTCCACACCCCCCAGGCGTGAGTTCACAAAGGGAAGAAAAGAGAAACGGGTCTTAGGATCTGCTGAAACCTCACGGCACGTAACTTATTTATGCCTGTGCTACAAGGAACACAAAAATATGGAATTGGAACCGAGTGGCGGAGCTGGGACTCAGCCTAAGAAAGGAGCACAATGCGGAGGCCCTGTGCAGTGGGAGGGGCCACCCCAGCAGAAGCAAACAAATGAAGCGAAGGGTGTAGAATTGAAACAATTTAGCACAGGAGGAAAAGCCGGGCTGCTTCTGCAGGCTGCTAATCCACTGTGAAATGCCTCTGCATTTGAGGGCAGAATCTCTAATTAAGTCTCCGGCAGTATCAGGTGAGGCTGGCCCAACTTTCTGCCGAGAATTCTGTGAGTTCCGGTTTTAACCAAGTGGCTGCAATGGCGACCTTTTTTTTTTTTTTTTTTTAAGACCACAGGAACCAGCTTTTCTGCAAAGCAAATGCTCTGCCCCTTCTGTGGGAGCCGGGGGCATTGTGCTGGGTGCGGGCGCTGCACAATGGCGGGGCTGCTCCGCGGGCCGAGCTTTTGTGGAACAATTTAGCATCTCTGAATACTCTTGTTTTGCGTCAGCCAATTCAAACATAAAGGCTGCAGCGCCGTGGCACAAGAGGGGCGCGCACAGGGAGTTCTGCTTTCCCACCGCTGAGGGCTAAGGTCTGGGACCCGTCACGAATGCCAAGGTGAGCCTGTCGGCCAGGGACAGCGGCTGGTGCACGCGTTTCTGGAACTAATGATTTCTAGCGCAACGCTGACGGAAGGGGCCCCCGGATGGAGGAGAGAGGCTTAGAATATTCTGGGAAGATATCTGTCTGTTAATAGTCCTCTGGGATCATAAAACGGGACAGACACCCAACTGTGCCATGTCCATGTGTGCTTTGCCACTACATGAAAGCAGAGAGGATCCCTGTAAAAATACAAATACCTCACAGCTATTGTAAACACCAGGAACTTCTGAGCTACATTAGTATAAAACCAAGCAGCCAACGTCTTGCACTAATGTAAACTGCTGGAACTTTCGGCGGAGGCATTAAGACATTTGCATCCCATCCATCTAACCTTAGCATAAACAGACCAATTAGATTTCTGACGGCTTCGTGTATACAATGTCTGCTCATTTGTTGGACCTCAGAGAGGGCTTTATCAGGTTAATCCATCCTGTTCTAGAAAACGGGAAGCCCTTTTAAGTGCCTTACACAGGAATCAAGGTATCTCTGGAAGGCAGCGAGCAGTTGCTGGAGAGACGAGAGCCCTGTCTTCCAGGCTGCTGGCCGGGTGGCTCCCTGCCACCCCTCCCCGCAGCTCGGGCAGCACCCCAAAAAAGGCTGCGCCAGATCCTGACCGCATTGCTGAGCTCCTGAATCGCCTATGGCCTTGTCTTTCCCCCAAAGGCCACAAGCGACACAGAGGGGCACGGGGTCCTAGCAGCTTGCTGTCATGCGGCTCCATACACGTGCACTGGATGGGAAAGTGACTCCGCAAGAGAAACCCTGGTACATATGGGACCTTCCCACCATGAAGACCAACACGAATGTCTGAGTAAATGTAGACAAAGGAAAAGGCAGAGTCAATGGAGGGTTTCCAACAACAGACCAAAACCTGTTCCCAGGTCAGGCAACCATCCACTCGGGATTGGCAAACCAGATTTGACTAATTGGCTTGTTGACTTATCAGTGGTCTGTATTGGGTGGCGCACTCTGCCCCCCCCCCCCCCCACGAATTCCCACTGGGGTAGGAAGGGGGCCTTGATGGTTCATGGGGAGGGACATCATAGTTTGCAAGGTGCTGGGCTACACTGCTGTAGCTATTCCACCGCTTAATTCACCCTGCACCAAACCTCAGGGAGCAAACCCTGGCACTCATTCTAGAAGGATGAAATCCCACAACGCTGAATGGCCCAGTGGGCTGTGCCATCCACCAGCCAATGGACTGGGCTGTTCTCTGTGATCAATAAAACGTGGTGAGACTCTTGGTTCAACTCCTTTACACATGAAGATCAGAGGTGTGTGCCTCCCTCCCTAGCGGCCCCCAAAGGCACAGACCAGCGTCTCCTCCCAGACTGAGGCAGCCCAAATGAGCCCATCGTCGCTGACATCTGGGTCTGCCCTGTCGCGGTTCTAATTCTGCATTAGCTTTCACTTCTACATGATCTTGACCTTGCCTCTCCACAAAGCAACAGCATGCCAACCCAAGAGTGGCTGTCACACAGAGTGCCAAGGCTGTTCAGAGGAGATGGTCTCTTGTCTGGCAGTTCTCCAATTCTTCCCAAAAGGAAAACTCACTCTGCTGATAACATCACAAAGTCACATCCTTCACTACATCAACCAGAAAGACCTTGCCTTGAGACTCAAAGACAAGTGTCCCAATTAACCTGGCTTCCCCCAAATGGACACCAAAGTCAAACGCTCAATGCTTCTCAAATCTTAGTGGGGACTCAAATATGAAATCTGGGTACATTATCTTCCCTCCTTATTTGTTAAGAATTTATTTATTTGAGAGGCTGACAGATAAGACCTCCCATCTGCTAGTTCATTCCTCAAATGCTTGCCAATGGCTGGGGGCTGGGCCAGGCTGAAGCCAGGAGCCAGCAACTCAGTTCAGGTCTCTTATGTGGGTTGCTGGAACCCAACCACCTGAGCTCTCCCTTGCTGCCTCCCTGGGTGAGTGCTGGCAGGAAGCTGGAACTGGGACAGAGCCAGGACGTGAACCCAGGTGCTCCGATATGGGATGCAGCTGTCCCACACCAGCAACCTGACTGCACTGCCCCTACCTTCAATTTCACTACAGGTGACTGTTTTAGGTATTTGCTAAGTTTTTCTTCCTAATGTTCAGAAAGGGACAAGACAGAGGTCAAATTCAGTCAATTAACAAGAACCCCAGTCATGTCTTTGTGCACCTAATTCAACCAATGATGGGAGGGTTGGCGATCCTCCGGCTTGCTTCAAGCCATAGATCTGCTTGTGCTGCTGGCCCTAAACTGTCCGTCTCCTGTCTTGTTGAACAGATCCTAGGAAAAAAATCTTGTCTTTGTGCCTCTCAGCATATTTCTGAGTTAATGAATTCAGAAGGAAGCGATCCCAGTGAAGAGCTGTCACAATCTCCCAGACACAGAAGGAAATAAGCAACAGCAGTCACACAGCGGAGAGCGGCGGTGTCTGGCTCCCCGACACTCCCACTTACCTGACAATGAAATCAAACTCCGACCCCGCCAGCATCAGCACCCCCAGCAGAGTGGACACGGCGCCGTCCAGGACCGGCGCGAACATGTGCTCCAGGGCAAGCACAGCCCGGCGGTTCTTGTCCCCGATGGCGGTCAGGAAGGCCTGTGACCCAGAGTGGGGAGATCAGACGGTCAGCGTTGTCGTCCCTGCATGCAGGAGCCTTCTCACACCTCACCACCCAGCTCTTGGCTGGCATCACCGGGACTGTTCAACTGGCCGAATGAAGCTTCCCCCGAAATGACCTCATTTTCCACGAACTTCTTGAAGACCTCCTGTATGTCCTCACCGTTATGCTAACTAGGAAAGGAATTCCTGTCACTGTTTCCAACAAGTATATCTGTAGTACATTTAAGCACCACAGAGGAATCCTAAGGAAAAAAACTATAGGACTGTAAAAGTTGCTCAAATCAAGCTTGTCCCAATAGCCAGTATGAGCTTGCTAGAGTGAGCGCTGCTGTGACAGGCTGTTGGCTGCAGGGTGGAACCCAGGGCCACTGCATGTGAGCTACTGTGGAAACAAACCATCACCTTGTGTGTCATCTTCAGACCGGGAGGCCGGAAGGACCAACAGGTGCCTGTCCTAGAGTGCACAACGTCTATGTCGCTGAAACAGCAAACTGGCGGGAACGCAAGCAGTCTTCTTTGCCAACCTCATTCCACTGTCTTAAGACCTCGGGAGAGCAGCAACTGCTCCCTTGAAGTGCAAAATTTCACGAATAGGATTTCACGTCCTGTATGTGGCTAGTGCTCTTCCGGGAGTCCAGCAGCTCGAAGTCTGAAGACCATGGTTAGCCCGTCCATCATAAAAATCTGTTCTCACACAGCCCTGTCTGCAGATGGTACCTGCTTATGGACTGTTAACTCATGCGGGACTATTTCCCTTTGCGGAAGAAATAATATCAGTGTTACGTGTTTTCTAAGCTCTAGGCTGGTAGATTAAACAACAACAAAACAAAAGGCAGTGCTAGAGATGACAAAAGCAACACTCAAAGTAATTTGGTCCAAGTCCAGACGATGCTAGGTTTCCTAGCTGGGGCATCCCAGACACCATATTTATTATTATTACTGAATGCCCACCAACAACTCCATGTACTTAGGCTTCAAGCACATCTGTAGATGGACATAACTGACATTTACATAAATTACATGTACATTATGAGGCTTTGGATAATTCTCTGATAAATACATCCCATGTGTCTGTCTCTTAAAGAAGCCTCCTGAAGTTAAACTTCCTCCAATAAAGCATTCGCAATCAATGCGGAGAGAGAGCGCGAGAGAAACCACTCTTGTTGAAAGCACCGCTAGTTCTCTCACTCTCTGTTGTCATGAACTGCAAGGCTGGGAGGTGGAAGGAGCTGGGTGGGCTTGGGCAGCAGAGCCAGCTCTTCAGCCTTCGCTCACAGGCCCGAGGGGACTCCCCTGGCAGCCAGCTCACCTCCCTGTCAAGGCCGTCCCCACCAAGTCTGAGAGTGTGGTGTTGGTCTAGCCCGGCTTCATCACTGGCTGTCAAAGCGTGCATGGGCACATGCACACTCCACATGGGATCTGTTCTGGGAATAAAGTCTGCGAGCTCAGGACCCAGGGTAACGTGAATGGTGGCCAATACCCAATGAGTCGAGTCCACACTGAGGACAGAGCCTACAGCCGGAGAGGGCCAGTGACCTGCCATGCGGTTCTCCTTGGACTGCCCGAGAGAGAGAGACTCAGGCACGTGACTCCTGTGCTGTCTGCAGCCCCTGCACCGGGACGCATGGGGCTTCGGGAAGGGTCCCACTTGGAGGCTAAGATAGCTAGAGGAGATGCCGCCCTTTCAGCCACTTTTTGCAGAAAGTGCTGTCCATACCAAAGCAACGTGAACGGTGAATTCCACTCCTATGCCGACAGACGCGATCAGGATGACCACGGGCACGGCGCTCAGCTTGATGCCGATGAGTCCCATCATGCCAAAGAGCTCGACTGTCATCAAGGCCAGGACCATCACCTTGGAGAAGACACATAGGGGTTAGTGGGCAGGCAGCAGGTTCTGCACCCAAGGGCAGGTGTCCGAGTACCAGGGTGGCCTCCCGTGAGGTGGAGAGCAGAGAAACACCATCGGTGGCCCCAGCACTAACTCGCGTTGACGTCTGACAGCTGTCTTTTCCTAATGCAACTTCCCGCTGGGAAGGGGCACCAGGACAGCCAACGGTAAGGCGGAGGAGGAGGAGGAGGAGGTGGAGGAGGAAGATGAGGACATAATGGCAAACAGTCTGTCCAGTCCACAAAGATATTTCAAAAACATCATGGAAAATAGAACGCTTTGTTTTGGGGCAAGCATTTGTTGAATGGAAGGAACCCATTTGCATGCACCCATCACATGGCTTCCAATTTCATACACAGTCAGCCTTGTGCCCTGCTGGATTCCACTTCCATGGATTCAACCAACCATGGATGGGGAATAGCGAGGAAAAAAAAAATCACACCTGTACTGAACATACACAATCATTTTTCCCCCTTGTTGCTCCCTAAGTAATACACCTGTTTACACTGTGGTAGGTGTTGAGAGTAATCCAGAGACCACGCAGTATGCGAGAGGACGTGCTCAGGTTCTCTGTCATTTTCTAAGAAGGGACTTGCATGTGTGCAGATTCTGGTACCCGCGGGGGGCCAGGAACAAGTCCCTCCTCCTCACCCCGACAGCCATCAGCGGATGAGGAGCTGGAGACAACTGGTCACTAGAGATCAGCCATTAGAGATCACTCTACAGCTCCTGGCTGGCTTGAGCATTCAGAGCACGTGGGTCGGATGGGGCGTGGAGGAGTTCTTGTGGGTAAAGCAGTTTGGCTTTTAGTGGGAGCCCGCAGGTGAGGTGGACATGAGTGGGGAGCAGGTTCAGGGGGGCCAGTAAGAGCTCGAGGGGCTGGAGTACAGGGATCTGGGGTGCAATTTGGGCAAACCAAGTAAACCCATGTCTCAGCTGGAGCTTCTGACTTTGGTGTTCGTTGGGAAACTGTGGGGAAAGAGAAAAACCTGGGAGGTGGGATTGCTCTGGTCAGTAGGCAGAAGTAGGGGGAGGGGCCAGACAGAAGCCCATCTCCAGCTAGCTCTACATGGCAGAAGACAAGGAGCGGGTGCTCCTCGCTCCTCTGCAGCAGGGGGACGATACTGAGAGATGGACCAAAGACTTGCAGATTAAACATTCACCTGCCAGTGTACCTGCTGCACAGAGTTATGGTGTGAAAACAAACCCTGCGCCCTGCTTCTATCCTCCTGGCGTGTTAAAGACCATACCACAGGTCATGGGACGGAAACACTGCCATGGCTTTGTCGGATGCTAAGACACTGACTTCCGGTTTGGCAGGAAGCCAAAGTGCAGGTGAGTGACAGCAGCACATCACTTCCCCGCAGGAGCTAAAACACACACTGGGCACCTGAAGCCCACTTCCTCCGTATCCCACTGTCCTGACTGCTATGTGCCCTGCCCCGTGAGACAGGCACGACCCTTCTACCTATTCTTAGGTCTGGAAGGAGGTCACAAAATGACACTTTCAAACTTAAAAAAAAAAAAAAAGAGAGAGACGTTTGTGTGTTTTTATTTAATACATGCTTGGAGCTGTTATGGAAAGTGTGCTTGAAAAACTCCCTATCTTCCACACAACGGTTTTAGAGCTGGGGATGGGGGAAGGGGGGCGCAAGCCCAGGGCCATCAGACACTCCACCTTCACCACGAACCTCGCCACCCCCCGGTAGAATAAATACGTTACGGCTGATGCAATCTATACCCGCCTCCAGAGGCCCAGACATAAACAAAAGTTCCCGGCTGCAGAAAGAGCTATGCTGAAAGGAATGCGACTTCCACAAAGATCCTTCTAATAACTCACAATGATCCCGGCTGTCCAGGGGTTCAGGAGGAAGACGGCGCACACGAGGAACGTGCAGGCCAACACCACGCTGATGGACAGCAGCAGCCAGTGGCGCAGCCCGATGTACTGCTCCCAGAAGAGGAAGGGGTAGCCGTTGGGGTAGCTGGACAGGCCCAGGCTCGTGTAGTTGTTGCAAATGGCTCGCACTTTCTCGATCGCTTCCACAAAGTCGGAGGTGTCTCGCAAGCCGTTGAGGTAGAAAGGGAACTGGGCGTACTCGATCGGTTCCGCGGCAGGGACTGTGCGGAAGAGACGTGGGGGTTAGCAGGGGGAGGGAGGGAGGGGCTTCTCCCTGGGCACCGCCATGGAAAGCAACCTGGCCAGGGGCTGCCCCACTTCTTTAGGCAGGAAGGGGCTATACCCGAGGCCTCAAATTTGCAGAGGGGGTGCTGGGGCGTGGGGAGCCTGTGATCCGTACATTTTTCCTCCCCACCTTTGATCTTCACCACCCCAAAGCACTGTCTTTTAGTTGGGGGGGGGGGTCTAAACTCAACTTAAATTCCAGGGAATTTTTTTCCCCCTTTTTAAGCGGGGGCAGCGGCTGCTGCACTGGCACACACTGTTTCCCTCGATCGCTTACAAGGGCAAAATGGATCGAGAGTCATGCTTTGCCGAGAAAAGCGCTTAACTTTCTTATCCTTTTAGTGAACACATAAACTTCAAGCGGCCGTCCATGCTTCTTTTCTAATGCGATGCTAAGTCTTCGGCAACAGCCGCAGAAATCCTCGTACAACAAGCATTTAGTTACTGCCGCTGTGTGTTCCAGACCCTTTGGGGTCATTGAGTTGACTTGCTAAACATGATTTGCCCTATTATAATCTCAACTATAAATTTTCATTAAGACACGTCTTGGCTGCTTGCCACAAGGCTCTGGGCTTTAGATGCCGGGGAGCACAAGTCGCTCCGTCTCCGGCCAGGTCTGCAGAGAGGGACCCGTGTTCCTGGCCACAGCGTGAGCTCCCACCACCTCGAACCTAAGTGCAAAATCAGACCCACACAGAACCACCTCGCCAACTCGGGTCGGAGACGGGGAAGCGGACGCGGTGGTGTATACAGACTTTTCCGCTCCCAGTTTAAACAGCCCTGACAGACTACAGGTGCTTGGTGGCTTATGGGAATGACCCAGTGTGCCAAAAATCCCTTCAACACCAGGGTTGACAAAGTTAAGATAAACACATAATCCCCGGCGATAAAACTCGGCAATAGCCGAGTAACAGTCGACGTGGAGGCGGCCCCGACGTTCACACGGAACAGCTGGGAGTGAACTCTACAAAAGGAGATTAGAGACTGCCTTTCTCCACCGTGATGGAGCGCGGGGTGTATTCCATTACACATCCTCATCTGTCTCCCCGGGGTTTTAAACCCAAAGAAATATATTGTGCTGTTTACACTTTTGAACTCTGGGCAGTGTCAGGGGCCAAGGGCTGTGGCCCAGCGCTGCAGGACGGGGGCGGAGCCTCCCGAGGGCCGCCCCGCCCCCGCCCCGCCCCCTTCCCACTTACTTCTCAGCCTGGTTTCTGGCATGTAGTCGGCTTTGTCGTGCACCCACTCGGGCCGGTGCGGCCGGATGTTGGCCTGGGAGGCGGCGTACGCCACGGGGTCGTTGCTGACCCAGGCCGTCAGGTAGATGTAGAAAGCGCTGGGGTTGATGATGCCATCGGCGTCCACCAGCCGCTGTTTCGTCAACTGCCAGAGGGGGAAAAAAAAGGGAAGCCCTTGAGAAGGGGGCACCCACGTGTCCGACGGAGAACAGAACGCCCACTGTGTGGAAGGCTCGGGAACCCCGCTCAGAGCACCCTCCACGGCTCCCGAGACCCGCTGGGTGTTTCTAACAAACACACCGTTTCTGCAGATGGCCCCGGGAACCGGCCGAGGCAATTAAACCTGAACGCTGAAAAGACCGAGCGCAGCCAAGGCCGGGAAGGAACAATCTGGAGAAACATATTTATAGGAAGGGCAGGGGACAGAAAACCTGGCAAGATTCCCCATCCGCGTCTGTGTGCAGTTAACCTCTTGTTAACACTGAAGGAAATACCGCCCAGTAAATGGAGGAGAGCTATAAAAATAAAACAACATCTGTATAAATTTTGCTAACACTAGCCTCCTATGACCTGTGGATTCGAAAAATGCCCATCGCCACGGAGTGGAAGAGGCTGGCGGTGGGGAGGGGGCCCAGCCGGGGTCCTGCCCGGTCCCCCACATGGGCCAACCACATTCCCTCTTGCCGCAGGTCCCGGGAGCCGTCTGGCTGAACGTGTGTATATATTTTATACACACAGAAACATTTTTTTCCTGTTTACTTTAGATTCAGGCCTGGTTCCAACGCTTATGGTCTTTTTTTTTTTAAACGAAATGAAAAACACCAGTGACAGCAGTTAATAGAGAAAGAGTGAAGTTAGAGTGAGCGAGCGTGGAGGAGCAGGAGACTGGATTTCAGGGATCTGGATTCAATTAATCCCCAGGATACATAACAACTGTATGTCTTCAAACCCTCTCTGGAACGACGGAGCACAGCTCACGGCCTCCGTGCGCGCCCGCGCAGCCCTCTCCCGCCCAGGCCGAGGACTGGGCTTGGCCCAATCACACAGGTCCCTGCTGCCCCTGGCCCCCCAGCTCCAGCCCACTCTGGCCTGGCAGGCAGGCTCCTCTGCCCACACACTTGTCAGAACTGACAGCCTGCTGCACACTGCTATAAAGCCCGGCGTTTCACACTCCATAATAACTCCCAACAATGTACTTTGTAAATCTGTCACCTTGAATGCCAGCGAGAAAGGGGAGACAATAAACAGAGCTGCAGAGAAGATCATTAGCATGACGGTTTTGTGCCTGAAGGTGAAGCCAGCAGGCTACAAAGAGCGGGAGGGAAGTGTGCACACACACCCCTGGCCAGGCCCCAGGTATCTAACTTTAATACTGGGGTGTCAGTGCTCCTGGGTTTCCAGGAGCTGAGCTTCCGTTTGCCCCCTGGGCCAGGGCAACCCAAAGGAGTCACTGGCAGAACCTCTCTCATCTCCCAGCCCAGGTTCTACTCGTGCAGATGACGGCCACCTGCCCAAGTCAGAAGGCCCGCAGGAGCAGCTTGCCGACGACGCCAGGGTCAGCACCACCACTTGAAGGAACAACATACAAATAAATCTCCAGGAGCCTGCACCAGTTCTGCTCTGGAGGTGGGGAACCCGCCCACCCCTCCTCGACAGAGGGGCCGAATGAGGCGTCCTGGCTTGCCCAAGGTCACACACTTCGCTGGGGTGGGATGAAGTGAGTCAGAGCCAACCCAACGCTCCTGGCCCCGGCCTGGGGCCCCCAGGGTGCCAGGCTGTGGTGCAGCAGCTGCCGGCCCGCACCCTGCCCCCATCTCCGCCCCTGGCCCCGGCAGCTCCCTCGGGGTGCAGCAGGAAGGTACCTGACTGATGTCGATGGGCTTCTCGCGGCTGCCAGTCTGCACCAGGAGCTTGTAGGCCAGAACCCCGTCGTCCGATCCGTTTTTGTAATTGTTCGGCATGATTCTGCCTGTTTCCCAGTCACTGTCGAACGCATCCTGGAGCCCTAGGAAAGGCCGATGTGTGGAATCCATTACAACTCGGAACCACAGTGACCCTGGGGCTGACGGTGGGGGCCGCAGGCGGGACAGGGGACCACTGGCCATCCATCAAAGCCCTCTCTGGATTCTACTTCCACTCCAACTAATACGATTACATTTTTCGTGAATGAGTTGCAGGTTGCTAATCATCACTGCCTACAAGGGGTGGTGGTGGGATGTTTGTTTCTAGGAAACAAATGCGCGTACTTTAGCTTCAAAAAAAAAAAAAAACCTCCCCTTGATTTCCGGCCACGCCTCTTCCAGAGGAGAGCGAAACGCACACCGGGCTCATTAACCGCGTCATGCCACAAAGGGTGCTAAGCCACTGGCTCTTGCACACAACCAGAAATTCCACTCGGAGGGGAGGAGAAACCCATCCAGGCTCCCGACTTCAAACAGCCCCTCTGCAGCTTCTGGAGCCCAGGGTGAATTTGTTCCATCTGGTCGGCTTGTGGAGCTAATACACGCTGCGGGCCCCGCTGCCAGGTTGTGTAAAGATCACAGCCAACACCTCTTCGCTCTCGACCGTTCTCTTCCTCTCCGAGGAGTGGGAAGGGAGGGATCCTGGGGTATGTGTACGTGCGTGCGTGTGTGTGCGTGTGCGCCCGCCTTGACGAGGGGCAATCCCTCACCGGGTTAACTTGGATCAGACGCAGAACAGGAAGCCACAGGCCAATACAAGGAGGCTCTGTGAGAACAGATGACAAACCGCAAGCCCCGGGGAGGGTGGGGTGGGGAGTGCTTTCTGGGCTGGGGGATGGGCGAGCCCACCAGCCCACCACACACAGCTGCGCTTGGGCCCTGTAATCAAAACCATCATCACAGACGGTTTGGCTACAGCTGTAAAGAGATAAGCGCATTGGAAGAGAAAACAGGGCCCTGGTGACCCAGCCCTAGGGTCTGAGTGCCGGCTGGGGCGCACACTCCCCACCCCCACCCTCCCGCCTCCCCCAGCCCCCCTGGCCTCGCCAGCCGCCTCCCAAGTAGAACCCCCAGGCCCCGGCGGCTCAGGAAACCACAGCGTTTGAACAAGCTGTACATGTATGGCTTAGGCATGGCTGGTAAGACGGGAGAAGGGTTTATTTCATTTCAGGACATGCCTTGGGTGACTTCAAAGACAAAAAAAAAAATCTGGCTGCTTTGGGCTCGGCATGGTTAAGCTCTTAGGGTTGGAGGCGGGGGAGGCTCCTCCTTCTGTCTTTTCTTCCCGCTGTGGGCATGATCTTTAAAAAAAAAACGAACAGTTTGGGGATGCGGCTGGTGGGCTCCAGGGTGGAAGGAAGCCCCCAGTTCAGGGGGCAGGGTGGGGAGGGACCACCAGCACAGCGGTGCTCCCAGCCCACAGCTAGCCTGTTTCTCATAGTGGGGCCTGCACACAGCCGCACTGAACAGATGTCATTTTATGACCCACAGTCTTTTTTTTTCCCCTTCTGTTTTTGAAAAAAAATAAACAGGAGAGGAGAAACAACCGCTCCCTCCCCCCAGACCCCTAAAAGGGAGGCCTGGCCTGTTTTCTTCTCCATAAAAGAATTTTCATCACTTCCTGATTTCCCTGGTCCTTTCTGAATCCCAAGGGCAGCTCACGCACAGAGAGCCCCTGACGATCCCATGAGTGGTTTTGCATTCCCACTCTACAGATGAGGAAACTGAGGCCAGAAAGGTGAGGTTCTGAAATGTCGGAGCTGGGCTTAAACCAGGCAGGCCGATGCCAGGGCTGGCACAAACCGCTCAGTGCCCCGGATGCACCGTGGTGCCCAAGAAGCACTCACTGACGACATGTACAAGCTTAACAAAGTTAACTCAGGCACCCACAACATCTGGGGCCAGAGGGTCCCCAGAATCCAAGGGCTGTTTTAAGGCATTTTCCAAGACTTTTGGGACACCACGGACTTGTCATAGAAAGGAAGAAAGACCAGAGCTGGATAGGGCAACCCTGCAGGCGACTTGGTCAAAACTCATTACCAACACGCTTCACTGCAGGTTCCAAGATGACCAAGAGCGAGCTCTCGACTTTACGCCAACATCCAGGACCTTGCAGGGTTATTTTCACATTTTCTGATCAGCGACAAGAAAGCTCAAGGGACAACAGGCTGACCTAGGTGCATGCACTGAGCCTGGACCCAGAACGAGAGGTGACCGTGGGCTGCCAGCAAAAGACTGCGATTCTACTCAGTTTACTGCAAAACCTTATAACCACAGCTGGAGCGTCTCTCATTATAAATAATGTGTACTAAAAACTAGTTTCTGGCATACAGTTCTGGCTTAAGGAATTATCCCAATTGTCCATTTTTTTTTTTTCAAATGTAGGATCCTAAAGAGAAAATGTTCCTCCAAATTCCATTTGTGAAATTCAATGAGAAATATAAATGAATGGCATTTGCACAGGTGTACAGCATGGCTTTCTCCCTCTAACATCTTCTCATTTGCATGCATGGTCCAAGATGTCACACAGGTTATTTCTATGAGTGAACTCAAACACTGCTATGATGTTGATCAAGACCAATGAGGTGACACGGTTTGAATGGTGATTCCACTAAAAAAACCAAAGAGGCTTCCATCACTGAACCACCACTGGAAATCGTCTGGCAGGGAAGCTGACTCCAGGCTAATTTCTTCCTGGGAGGAAATGTTCACGGACCAAGCCAACCACGCAAGAAGCCTAAAGGATGGGTAAGCAGCCAAGGGCCCCCGGATCTGATCTTTGGGTGTAGGGAGTCCTGAGCACACAGATCCAGTGGCCGTTGCTCCACTTAACAATCTAAACGTGATTCAAATGCATCTGAAAAAAATAAAAGGATTTTTAAGCCCAATCGCCACGTTGTTGGACTTGGGCCGCCAAGGGCCGGCTCTGGTGCTTGGGACTGGCGTCACCCAGCAGGTCTTTGTCACTGGTGGCACATTACTTGCATGATTTGGTCAATGAAATGAAAACCAAGGAATCTCTGGTTCTTTCCTGACTCATGACCCAAAAGCCATTGCTTTCAAAACTAAGTGTAAAAAAGTTAACACTTGGAACACATTCAAGTCAGTCTGATGAGCAGGCTGCGTGACGATAATCACGGCACACAATATTCTCTTCACCTTCCACCACACATCAGCCAAATCTGGCATGTACATTTGGAAAAAAAATCCTAGGAACCTTAAGTAAAGGCCAGATACCATACTGAACCATTTTTGGTCAGACTCAACTTGTTTGCCACATCATGCAAGCTCACATGGAAACTGCTTAATCTTTACAATCAAATTGTGTATTGACTTAAGAAAGACCAAAAAAAAAAAAAAAAAAAAAAGGGCACTTAAATCTGTATTTAAACAAGGCTAATTAAGTGGGAAATTAAGACAATCATTTGGATAATCTCAGCCAAAAAAAATGTTGGGGCCATAATTATTTGGGTATTCCAGTAAAAGCATCATTGCTTGAACTGTGTGGATAATTATCCCAAGTCTCTCCTTCACCGTGCATGTGTCAACACAGAATAAATGAACAGATGTTCTTGGAATCACAGAACACGTTTGTGTTCAGTCAGCAGTCAGGAGCGGATTTAGACAATTCTGTTCTTCTCCAGTTGACTAGCATTTCCTAGAAACGTTTCTAAGAGCAAGATAAGAAGCCAAGAAAGGCATTTAGGACAGGATTTGATGATTTATGACCTAATGTGAAGTGTGATCAAGCATTTATCAATTGACTTCACTTGCCAAATCCAAGATGGTTAAAAGGAAGTTGAATGCACACGATGGGCTCTGGGGTGACTGATAATGCAGCCTCAGTGTAGGTTCCTGGATTGTGACAAATGCCCCTTCTGATGGAGGACTGCTTATGGCAGAGGGGGGCTGTGCATGGGACAGATGGAGAGCGCTCCTTGCACTCAGATTGTACTGTGCACCCAAAACTGCTCTAAAAATCTAGTCTGTTCAAATATAAATGAGGGGCTGGCTTTGTGCAGTGGGTTAAGCCACTGTCTGTGACGTCGGCATCCCATAGTGCAGCACCAGTTCCAGTCCTGGCTGCTCTGCTTCTGATCCAGCTCCCTGCTAATGTGCCTGGGAAGGCAGCAGAAGATGGCCCAAGTACTTGGACCCCTGCCATCCATGTAGGAGACCTGGATGGAGCTCTTGGCTCCTGGCTTTGGCCCGGCCCAGCTCAGACTGCTGTGGCCATTTGGGGAGTGAACCAGTGGATGGAAGACCTCTTTTTCTCTATCTCCATCAGTCTGCCATTCAAATAGATGTCACCAAACAGGCCACCAGCCCGAAGGACAAGAGCAACAGAAGTCATTTGGCTCCTTATTTTATAACATGATTGTCCCCCCTTTCCTAACATGTACCCACAAATTCTTACGGAAGTTCCTGGGTTCCAAGCAACACTTGGAAGTCTGTGAAAACGTGTCAGCGTGACACTATGACCCAACACTTTAGTAACAGGGACAAAAGGAGCAGACGGAAGCCCAACGCACAACAGAATGCGGGGCGCTGTGGATGATGGCCGAGAGGCCCCACCCCGGGCTGTGTCTTACCCTGCAGCCAGTCCCTGAAGTAATGCAGCCACATTTTGGGAAGCTGCTTGTTCTCCTCCAACATGATGTACTTCACGTTACTGAAGCTCTTGTGCAGGTCGTACAGCAAGTGCTGGATGTTCGGGTAGTCGGCCTTCTGCGTGACCACGTACATGTTGTAGAAAGAGAAGTATTTGAACTGCGCGGCGATGAAGTCGTACTCTCTGGTCTCCCGAGGGACGATGTCTGTGAGGTCCAGCCCGTCCCTCACTCGGGTGGTCCCGTACAGGCTGACCCCCAGCAGGCCCAGGAAAAGGAAGATCACCACGACCTGCAACACAGGGAAAGGCACGCGGTCAGACCCCACAGGACCAGCACCGAGTCTTCCTTGAAGAGGCCGGGGTGGGCTCCGCACGGACACGGATGCTTGCTGCAGGAGACGGGACCCCTGTGGAAGCTGAGCTCACTCACACGGCCCCAACCCCTCAATGCACTGCGTCTTTTGGGAGGCACGACGTCGTTGATCACGCTTTAATGCATTTCCCTCCCTGAGCCACCTGCCGACCTGCTGGGCCGCAGGCAGACAGCAGCAGAGCCTCAGGCTGTTACCTTGGCTTTGGGCTTCAGGAGGAAGGGCGCGTAGTGCTTCTCCGCGAAAGACGAGAGCGTCCACTTGGTGCAGGGGGGCTCGAGGCAGTGGAGGCTGGAGTCGGAGAACTGGGAGAGCAGGTCCCTCGTGGAGCTAGTGCTCTCCGGGCTCTGGCAGCTCAGGGTGTCCTGGGTCACAGTGACAGGCTGCACAGAAATCTCGGAGCGCGGCTCGGCCGTGGTGTAGTACACGTGCGTGTGGGGGTCGTACTCGGTGCGGAGCTGGACGGTGGACTGCATGGTGATCTGCGTTTCGTGGGCGAAGCTGTGGCTGCTATAGGGTGGCGGGGGGCTGTAGCGCGTGCTGTCGTGGGCCTCGGTGTAGGCCTGCGGCTCCACCTGAATCACTCTGCTGACGCAGGGGCTGAAAGAAGGCGAGACGTGTACGTGGCGTGTGGACAAGGGGGTGTTGACACTCGTGTTCCATAGCTCTGGAGACTATCCTAGCACCAAACCCGGCAGGTGTCACCGCATGATCTGGATACAGATACAAGGACATCCAAGGAAGCCCAACAGACGGTGGCTGGGTCCGCGTTTGGCTCAAAGACGCCAAGCGATATGACAGTGAGTATGATTTCAAAGAAATCAAAGCAACACAAAACCACCCAAGGACTGCACGCTTTCTAGAGGGCTTGGCTGTTCTGCTGTGATCCAGAGAGATCTGAAAAACTCCCCAACAACTGGCGCCATTGATGCAGCTTGCAGGGGGCTGGGGCAAAGCCCAGGGACTCAGGTGCCCCGTCTGGGAAGCATCCCCTGTCCTGGGTCTCCCCTGCTGCCGCCACATCTGGACACCCCTGTTAGCTACAATCCCTTCTCTGTCCACAGACCAAGGGACTGAGCCGTACCATGCCGCGTACCCAAGCAACAAAGCATGAAAACACACCTTGTGAAACAGCAGAAAATGTCCAGTCTCCTGTCTTCCCGGCGATACAGATCCATGCTGAGGATTGCAGGGAAGATGAGCAGGACCATGGCGAAATTGAAGACCACCACCACTGCAGCCTGGGAGGCGGAGACAGAGTTGAGAGGTCACCGCAACGCCGCCTTCCGGCCAGGGACCGCCTCCCTCACGAGCTAAGTGGGGTTTCTCATCATTCTGCTACTCTTCCATCATCAAGAGACTATTATTTGGGTCTTTACAGGGACTGCACTGCTCCTGCCAACCCGACTTAACCCACAAAGTCAGAACACAGAGCATCCTCAAGATGCTGTAATTGAAGACGAGGCGAGACCTCAAGCAGCCGTGATTTTGCACTTGAAATTTTGGATACAGCTGGACCAAGCACACTAAAATATCCCTGGAAGACGTGAAATCCAATGTCCCAGGTGTCCCCTGAGGCTTTTAATGGCACATTCCACGGAGCCTCCGTGGGGCAGCCTGTGGGGGTGGGAGGCAGAGTAACACGGGAGGTCAAGGAGAGTTAAGCAGAAAGAAATTCTCGTGTGTGAGTTTTGTACGCAGAATAAGTAAGTGCAGATTCAAAAGTCACTCCATAACCTAAAATAAACACGGGCTCGGTTCTGTAGTGCCTTGGCAAGTCTCCTGCTGACCTAGTAAAAATTACAAAATTGGGCTGTTAATGGGGGGAAGGCGTCGGAGGACAGCTCAAAGGAGCATTCTGCTGAGAGACGCCCGGCAAAGGGAGAGGGCTGGAAAAATGGGACTGGACTGTGGGGGAGCCGAGCAGCGATCAGGACTGGCTTCGGCGCGCTCAAAACCCTCATGGGGTTTCTCAGTGAACTGCCCGGCCGTGAAACCTCCAACTGGCCAAGAGCGGGCGATCACTGGCACCCAACAGCATCCGGGCACAGCTTCGCCCAGGGCTTTCACGGTGACTGCGCGAGAAGCGCATGTTCAGGAACAGGTGCCTTTCGGTAGCTGAGGCCCTGCCCAGTGAACCAGACCATCTAAGAGCCGAGTCTCCAGCACAAAATCACCCAGCCTTTCCTCTTCATCTACCTTGAAGATCCCTCAGTAGTTCTGTTAATGACTCTAGTGGACGCAAGATACTTCAGATCAGGCTGAGGATGGATAGCCGCGTAGGAATAAACACACCAATACAGTGACCAGGGAACTTCTTGAAGGGACAGAGACTTTAAAAACAGCCAGGGGCCCGGCACTGTGGTGTAGTGGGTAAAGCCACTGCCTGTAGCTCTGCCATCCCCATATGGGTGCCAGTTCTAGTCCTGGCTGCTCCACTTCTGATCCAGCTCTCTGCTGTGGCCTGGGAAAGCAGTAGAAGATGGCCCAAGTCCTTGGGCCCCTGCACCCACGTGGGAGACCTGGAAGAAGCTCCTGGCTCCTGATTGGCATAGCTCCGGCCATTGCAACCAATTAGGGAGTGAACCAGTGGATGGAAGACCTTTCTCTCTCTCTGCCTCTCCTTCTCTCTCTCTCTGTGTAACTCTTTCAAATAAATAAATACATCTTAAACAAACAAACAAACAAACAAAAACAGCCAGGGCTTGCACTGGGTACTGGAGATGCAGAGGTAAGTATAACAAGATTCTAATATGGCTAGAGCTATCAACAAAATACAAAGAAAAGCCGGTCCCAGGTTGCAGAGCGGCTCAGATGGGATGAGGGAGCATGGCGGGGGTGGGAGTTGTGGAGGGGACATTCCTGTGTGGGGTTGAGAGAGGACACAGCACTCAGGTGGGAGCAGGGGCAGGAGAGATGCCCTGTGTCCAACAATAAGGTCCATCTGGCTCAAGTCTCTCGATTCTGCTGGGACCTGAACCTCATCCGGGGAAGGTGAAGATGTGATGGGGCAGTGGGAAGCTGATGCAGGAGTCCCACGGCAACCAGGAGGAAGACCCTCACTGTTGCCAACTCTGTCCCCTAATAAAGACCCTGCGTCCCCAGGAATCATAGGGCTGCCACTGCTTTTCTGGTCGTAGAGGGGGCGTTGGAACGGATGCATGAAGGTTGCTAGGGAAGTTTAAGACGGCTTCTTTGGGGGCGTTGGGGGGCAGGAAATAGTCTTTTTATGTTGGTCAGGCTACAAAATTGGAATGGGGTAGAACCCAAAGGCGTATTTGGGCAGAAGCACTCTGGGCTCTCCCCTCTGATGCTGCATCCGTGGTGTCCAGCATCACGTCGTGAGTGCAGGCCCAGTGCTCAGGTCTGGGTTGTCGGCACACTCCAGGGTGAGGTCTCACGCTCCCCTGGCCTGTTTCTGATATTGCTACCCCCGCCCCCTCCCAGGTGTTGGACAGACAGTGAGCCAGCGTGTCAGGGGAAGCCCATTCTTGAGTAATCAGGACTCTGGGAAGCCATCTTAGAACACCCTAGAAATGCACAGTCAACAGTACTCAGTGTCTCTGTAAGGTGCTTACCTGGGCGAGCTTAGCGTACAGGGTTTCTAAGAGGCTACTGCTTGCAAGGACAACTCATGGAGTTTTTCAGAGCACCACACCATGGGATACCATGAAAGGAGGGTTTGCCTTGATGAGTCATCAGTATGTACTGAGAGGAGAGGAGAGAAGAAGGGAGAGGGAAAAGAAGAAAGGAAAGGAGTGTGAGCAGATGGAGAACAGAGCAGACCAAAGACAGGCAGGGGAAAGCGAGCAGAAGAGAAGGGGGAAAGCAGAGAGAGCCAGGAGACAGGGCCCCGCTCCTGGGAGACGCTAGAGCCAGGCCTCAACCCACAGCCACGGAGCAAGAGCCGCAGGTGCAGGGCAGATAAACCCCAGTGGGAAAGGCATTCTGGGGGTGAGCGTTTAGCTCAGGGGTCAGGACTCCCACACCCCACCCAGAGTGCCCGGGTTCCACTCCAGCCTCCTGTGAGTGCAGGCCCTGGAGGAAGTGGTGATGGCTCAAGTCGCTGGGTACCTGCTGCCCAAGGGGGAGATCTGGATTGAGTTCCCAGACCTTGGTTTCAGCCTGGCCCAGCCCTGCCCCAACTCTTGTGGGCATCTGGGGGAGTGAACCAGCAGATGGAGGATCTGTCACTCTGCCTCTCAAATAAGTGAAAAAAAAATTAACAAGGCATTCTACAACTCTGGTTGTACCCCTAATTCCGACGACTCCTCTGGCTTGTTATTTTTCACATCACCAAGCAGTCACACAGTATTTTCACGTTTCTTGCGTTCAAGTTCAGTTTCAGATTTATTGTTTTTTTTTTTCTTTCACTTACTATTTCTATTTTACATCCACTTATAATAAAAATACACCTGCCTTTCAGTATTTTTCCTTTAGGGTGGTTTTGGCTGATGGGCAGATCACCTTCTTGGGTTTGTTCTCTCTCACACTGATTATCAAGGGAGCCCCACACCCACACACAGTGGGGGTCTCAGTGGCTTGGGTCGATTGGTAATCAGTGAAATGAAATCCAAACCCATTACTGATGGATTCTTGAAGGGACAACTGTAAAAATGAAGAAAGAGCTAAGCCTGTGCCCTGACGTCTCCACAGGAGCCTCACTCATGACTCAGCCGTTTCTCTCCCAGCTCTGGATCCTCACTTTCCACGGGAGTGCAGAGAGGAAAGCAGGGGCCCTGAGCGGGGCAGCGGTCTCCTTTAAGACCTGGGCTGAGGCCGGCGCCGCGGCTCACTAGGCTAATCCTCCACCTAGCGGCGCCGGCACACCGGGTTCTAGTCCCGGTTGGGGTGCTGGATTCTGTCCCGGTTGCCCCTCTTCCAGGGAGTGCAGTGCTGTGGCCAGGGAGTGTGGGCCCTGCACCCCATGCCCTGCACCCCATGGGAGACCAGGAAAAGCACCTGGCTCCTGGCTCCTGCCATCGGATCAGCGCGGTGCGCCGGCCGCAGCGCGCCGTGAACCAACGGCAAAGGAAGACCTTTCTTTCTGTCTCTCTCTCTCACGGCCCCCGCTGGAAGTCAAAAAAAAAAAAAAAACCAAAAAAGAAAAAAAGACCCGGGCTGCCTCAGGAGCTGCCCGACACATCCTCACGGAGGAAGGGAGAGGTGAAGTCAGCAAGTGCTTTCGGCCTTTTTCTTTGGGAGCAGCTGAAGCTTTCAAACACGCAGTCAATGCACAAGACATCAGGGACATCTGGAGATCCCTAGCAGAGCCCCGGGCCACTCTGGGCCGGGTGGACCACAGCAGAGGGCTCCTGGCTCTGCTTCACCTGCTGGGCTGGCTACCTTCAGGGGTCCTGTGCCTCCAGCAGCCGCTCCCCCCTGGAACTGCCTGTGCCCGGCACCTCTACAAGCTGCCTGCCGCTTTAGAAAAACACCCTGCTGGCTACTGGGTCTGCAGGGCCTGGTCTGGAAGGAGAGGAGAAGATACTTGGGGTGCCCATGGAGTTTGCCAGGGCAGCCTGAAAGGGGTAGGGGAGAGACTGCAGAGGGTGACTAAGAAACAGGAGGTGGACGCTAGCCCCCAGCACGCCCCTGGAGGGGGAGTGGCCAGCACCTGCTCTCATGGTGCTACCTGCCAGCTGGCTTCACGTCTGGCCTGGGTGGCACGCAACCTCACCCTTACACACCAGTAAAGCCTGTTTGACACAGCTGCCTCGGGGCAGGGCTGCTTGGGGAAGGCAGAGGAGGTGGCCAGCAGAGGAGGCAGACCCCAGAATCTGTGAGTAGCAAGGGGCCCACCGAGGAGCTAAGCTGCAACAACTGCTTGGGGGCTCCAGAGGAAGGAAAGCATAGGAGACAGCTGTCAGGGTTACGGTTTAAGGTGGCACCCGCCCCGCTGTGCAGAGCCCCAAGAGCAGGCACGCTCGACCTTATCTATGGCAGTGCTCCCTTAAGCGCCGTAGTGGAGACAAGGCAGACTTAGGATGCTGGACATTGCCCCTGGGATACTCACCTGGAGCGAGAAGGCTCGCAGAGCGGGAATTGGGATTAGCGCGGCCATGAAGAAGGCGGTGACGTTGCTGATGGATGTGAGCGCCACGCTGGCGCCCGTGCGCTTGAGGCACTCCCCGGTCCGGTCCTGCGGACGACAAACCACAGCGCTGCGGCCTCATCACCTAACACCAGCTTTCCAAGTCCCGCAAGCAAGCAAGGTGCGCGGAATCCCATAGGAGCAAAAACGGCATGGGACAGGCTATCCCCGGGCGTGGCCCAACCTGTGGCTGTAGGAGCCCGGCACCTCCCAAGGCTTCTGTGTTGCTGTTACCTCAAACGGGATTCTTTTGTTCTGCCCCGTCTCACTGAACGCGTGGGCCAGAAGGAAGACGTCGTCCACGCCGACTCCGAGGGCGAGGAATGGCAAGACCTGCGGCCAGGCAGAGGGCGGGTGGTGGTGTGAAATGCAGAGACCCCATGGAGAGCTCTGAAGAAAACACGGTCCCAGGCCACCCCGATGACCACTTCCAAGGCCCCGAGGGAGACACCTGCAGCCCTGAAGGCCAGTTACTTTGGGCTCATGGCACATCCTGGTCCCTTTCAAGGTCTAGGATCCGTGTACAATCATTTTTTTGAAAGTCAATACAGTGACTTGTTTCTCAAGAGTGTGATCCCTGGAGCAGCTCCCTGCACTTTTCCCAGCCTTCCAGGGGACACTAGCACCTGTTAGGGTGCAAGACCTGTGGTCCCAATGAACCACAGACATCCCTACAACCGAGGCAGCTGCCTAACCCAGATGAGTGGACATCCCGCCCACTGGCCTGGAGCCGGGAGGGTTCCCTGTGGAGACAAGTGGCATCCCAGCCGGGGAGGCTAAGGCCCTTTAAGGGACATACCGTGCCCAGGGAGGGGTGCTGGTCACCAAACCAGAGGCGAGCAGCTCTTTGCCTACCTGAGTTGTTGCAGCATTAAAGGAGATCCCAATCAAGGAGCACAGGCCCAAGCCTGCAGCCACGGACAGGGCCACCAACAGGACGCCAGCCAGCCCCACGGCCCCCTGAGACTTGGAGCAGTCCCAGCGTAGCATGGTTAAACAGGCGTAGGCAAGCTGCAGGCAGGACAAAGACGGAGAGAACGTGTGATGATCCTGTCGTTTCTCCCCCACCTCCACGATCACCCCAAATCCAGAGGAAAACTTCAGGAACACCTCCCAGACTTTCTATTTTGGGTGGCGCACAACATAGTACATGTCAGTGATGGATAAAGTGCACATGGGGCCCAAATCATTCTACACGAATACTTTCTAAATGGCTACAAACCCCAGCTCTCTTCCTGGGGTACAGTTACAAAGCAGGGGTGGTAAAGACTGAAAAAACAAACAAACAAACAAAAAAACCCAGAACCCCAGCCACGCCGCCCCAGCCCCGTCCCCGCGCCCAGGAGGGCAGAGAGCATGCGCACCATGAGTAGGTAGCCGCTGGCTACGCGGATGACGCTGACGTCGGAGAACGACTTGAGGATGTCGTCCAGTGTGGTGGTGGTAAAAGACAGCACCTTCTGCGTGGAGTTGGCGGAAACGCTCTGATGGACCACCTGTGGCCATAACACATGGCTCAGCTCCCACGTGGCATCCTGGCTTCATTCAACAAGCCCTCAGGTCACACCCCCCCACCCCCACTGCTCTTGGATACATTAAGAGAGTTCTAGGACTGGGTGTCTGGCATCACAGCTCACACGCCACCTCCCACCTAGCAGCTCCATCTTCGGCTCCTGACTTCTCAGCTTCCTGCCAATAAAGACCCCAGGAGGCAGTGGGTGACGGTTTGAGGAACTGGGTTCATTCCCCCAGCACCCATGAGGGAGGCCTGGATTGAGAGTCGCAGCCACCAGCTTTGGCCCCGACCCAGCCCTGCCTGTTGTGGGCATCTGGGGAATGAACCGGGAGATGCGAGTTCCCTTAGCTGTCTCTCCAAGAGATGAATGACACATTCAGAGTAGCTGCATGGTTCAGGTGGAGGGAGCGGGGTAGAAGTGGGACTCACACTGGGTGAGTCCCGGGTGGAGGACAGTGCGGCTACTGCTAAGCAAGTGACATGGGTGCAGCAGAGAGCCCCCGTCACTGGCCCACACTCGGGGCAGTGTATTTACTCCAACTCTAAGACTGCCATTCTATCTCTGTGATTCCACGACTGCTTTGCAGTCCATCAGTGCCCCCCTAATCCAACACAACTCATTCTCCCAGGCGCTCCTCCCCCCTTTCGCTTGCTGGCCACTTTTCAAAGGTCACTTGTGGCTCAGTAGAGGTCACTGCTTGGGAAACAAAGGCCAGCTCCTGTCACATGACCCACCAAGGGGACTGCAGCTGTGAACAGATTCTATGCCTTGCTAATGTTTTCCAGACACCTTGTCTTGCACACCCGGTATTTTTTCTTTTCTTTTTTTTTTTTCACGCCCCCCCCCCCCCTCCCATTACAACGTGCACCTCTCAAGGAAAAGCCGTGTGTGTTTAGCCCATCAGGTTCTCGGCACTAAAACCTGAGCTGAAAACACTTCTCCCGCAAACGCTGTTTTCGACACCAGTGCGAGGAAGCGGTGCGTGTTTCACGCGTGCGACTCGGGTGCGAAAGCGGGTTTACCTCCACATATGTCCTCTGCCAGGCCTCCAGGATGGCTGCCGCCTTGTCCTCGTTCCAGTTGATGTGAGAGACGTATTCGTAGCCCTTGAAGTGCTCGTACATTTGCTTGGGCGTCATTAGCTGGAACATGGTTTGCAGGGCGTGGGCGCTGCGAGAGGGGGAGGGGAGAACACACAACATTCCCAGGGAGTCCTGGCCACACATGGCACATGTTTCCATTCAGACGGGACCAGGACGGTGACTTTATTTAATAGATGGATGGACCATATTAAAGGTATAACCTTACAAACCTCTACAGATATACCCCAAATTAAATTAATAGGCAATTTCCTTTCACAGTTTCCATTGCATGAAACAGGAAGGGCAGAAGAGTAGATAGCTTGGCCAGATACGTACAGCTCGGCTCCACACACTAGCTGTGCAGAAGTCCCGGCCCATAGCTTTCCCAAGGGAGAAATCTCCACCACAGCCCGACACTTGCCTGGCTGGAGCTCCCTGGGGCACACAAAGGACCATTCTCCCTTAGCCTTCGGTTCTCAGTCTCGCCCTTCAACGGGGAGTGACGCTGTGTGGCTCCTATTATTTAACTCCATTCGCTGTGACAGGTGTCTCCTGCCAACCTGAGCCCAGCCCCCCTTCCTTGCCCACCTGTTGGGAGGTCCTTCTAAAACCTACAGTCAATAAAGACCCAGCCTTGATGAAAATTACAAATGTATCCTTGAACCATTCCCCAAAGGGGCTTTTTTTCCCCCAAGCTGGTCTGGGCTGTTACTCTTTTGTAATATTGGACGACACTGGATGGCTAGCCAGTGGGAAGAGTTACTTATTAATACAAATATAGTTGCAGGACAGATGTCTAGGTGGGGGGAGGGGTGGGAGGGGGGAGGAGAGGAAGGAGATGGACTGGATTCTAAGTGTTGGATTACCTGACAAGCTTTCCACTGCTGTTTCGGACTGTACCACCCACAATCAACTCCTCCTGCCAGTGCATATACTTGCGGGATAATCCATGACACCCACCATTCAAAACAAGGGCCATATCGAGCGGCTACAATAAAAAGACAGCCACATAATTAGTAGGCAGGTCACATGCCTTGTTAAAATCCAGTGCATTAAGAGCCTGTTTGTTTCAGAGAGAACATTAATAGCAAAGCTAATGAGAGGCGTATGGCAAACCTTACAGCAAAAATTTAGCTCCATAAACAAACTTAGTTGTACAGACCAAAAAAAAAAAAAGCCACGGAGATTGAAATGTTAGCAATGAAAATCATCAAGAGAACTCAAAATGGAAGCAGCCACCTAGCACCTTGCCCTATTGGGAGAGGCAGTGGGGCGCACACTCACTTTGGTTGAGTTTTTGTTGGGGGCTGTGGCCGGGCAGTCTGGGTCTGCTGGATTGAGGCAGGGTCGATCCATATACCCACGGCCGACGTCAGCCTTGTTCAGCATCTCCTCCCAGCTGTCCACTTGATAGTTGATCTTCTTTAACTCTTCCAGGAATTCCAAAGGGTCAAAATTTGTCCACCGCAAAGGAGGTTTCCCCCTGTGGGCGAAATCAGGAGACGGGTGAGAAGCGGCTTCCGGGTAGAGGCTGCCATTCTGGGTGAAGGATCCTCACCTGTATGTCTGCGTGCAAACTCGAGGCAGGCAGATAATCCGCTACTGAAGGTGTGACAAATTAACCAAGGCACCTGTGGTGGACGTATCTGATGGACTACCCCAAAACAAAATGAGCCAGTGGGCGCCTCTCAGCAGACTGAGATGCCAGATTCCAAAACAAGAGAGAGGGAACGGCGCTGTCGGACGGGCACTTGCCAGCCTGGCGGATGCTTTGCGACTGGGATTCGTAGAAACGTTTGATCCCTGTTACCTTCCCTGATCCCACACCTTGGAGCCGTCTCGGACAGCCTGGCAGCCGGGCGGGCGGAGCCCCCACCGGCCTCTGCCGTCACAGCCACTTCCCCCGGACGCTCACTTTTGAATCTGCTGTTGACAGACCAGAAAGGCTTTTTGCTGCCTGTTATGTGGTTCAAACCACACTGTAGCTGCTTAACCAGGCTGAAGGCATTATTCAGAATCTCCCAACCAGAAAACACAAAACCCCTTATTTCCCATCGACAACTGTACACGGAAGGTCAGAGGACGGCCACTGTAAATTGCTTTTGCAGATATGTGCAAGGCCGGACAGAAACAATAACCCAAGCACTAACTCTTGCATAATTAACTGAAAACGTCCACACCGATTAACAATCATTCTTTAAATGATGCAGCCCGTATACTATCCAACTGCTAAACAGCGAAGCATCTTGAACCACTGCCTTCGAGGACAGCGGATTTTCCCCTTAAATGTCATTAATGTGATCCAAAGAAACAGTTCTGTTAAATTCTCGTCCCTCCAGAATGAGGGAAAGTGGCCAGGCTGTGAAACCCCAAACATTTAAAAAAGTTAAAAAAAAAAAAAATCACACATACTCTACAATAATTTGCATTTTATTTGCATATAAATGGGTTGCTGAAAGTGAATGAAATTTAATGATGCCTACAGAACTTTTTTTTTTGAAAAGAGGAAAAACATTCTGCTGAAATCCCCTCTGCCTTCACTATTCACTCCAAAAAATGCACATGGAATTTCAATGCTTTTTCCCCCCTCTACTGTTTGCAACTGAAGGGGAATACAAAATGATGAGCAACCTCAGACACACTGAATCCCAGAATGCTGAAGGGGTACTTACAGGAGGTAAGCCGTCCCGGACTGGAGCTTAGCACCTTCCCAGAAGCAATCCAGAGGTGTAATAATTAAACACGGGTAAAGGTATTCTATTATCTGTGGAAAAGAACGGGCCGTGGGTGAGGTTCATGCACACCACACCGCCGGGGTGGTGTTTCTGAAAATCCGAGGGAGTTTTGCAAACAAGAATATACCTGATCCATGTAACCTGTCTCTGTGATCAGTTCTCCTGATTTGTAACACAAATGTTCCAATTTCCACTGCCTGTCGAAATGAAAAGCAGAGACAACTGTCAACAAAGAAATCCGTGCAAAATCACAACATATAAAAAGGACCGCGCAATTCCCATCACTTCTAAGCATCTGTCAAAACGAGCGGGGCTTTTGCCAAGTGGGGAGCAGGCGGGCTTGCTTTAATGAATAGATAATACTCGACTGTAATTAACAAATGTAGGGTGTTTATGTAAATGAATGCTTGAAGTCTTGTTTTCTTAAGTGTTCTCCCAATAATCTTGTTTACACCATTCATCTGCTTTACTACATACATTAAACAACTTCAGGGCAGGCCGGTTAAATGATCAGGAATTCCAAGTGAGGGGGGACTACATTAGTGAGTTCTAGGAGAAGGATGTATTTCCAGGATAATGCTCTTCTCACTGGTAGTGTTCCAAAGCAACTCTCCTGCTCTTAACCACAAAGAAACAACGGTTGCCAGGCCGATCCAATTTTTTCACAACCCCTTCTATCCTTATGGAAGAGTATGGATCAGGAAGAGTATTCCTGTCTCCAAAACTGTGCCCTCTAGACCTTTCTAAAGGCAACAGGGAGATAAAACTGGGGAAAATAGGAAATTTGGAAGGTGGCGGACATGAGAAATCCAAGACAGGGAAAAAAAATAAAAGAAACAACTATCTTCAAACTGTTGGGTTTTATTGGTCTCCTGGTGGGGAGGGGCCATCTTCACCCAAGCCCTCCCCCCAGAACCTGTCCACCTGTCTCACTGAAGGGCCACCTGCCTGGCTCAACGTTCTTTGATCAGTGCGGTTGAAAAGGACCCTTTTCTCTTGTTCTAAGTAACACCTGAATGGCAGATTGCCCTCCACAGACGTGCAGCACCTGTAGTGGGGACAGCCTGTGTCTGGCTCAGTGCATACCTGTCCGTGATGCCATTTCTCTCCCTGAGAGCAGGACTCAGACACCCATCCAGCCAGCCCCCAACCCCCCTCCCCCTTGTTCCAACTCCACAGAGCATCAGCACAGGTTATACACCATGAGAAGGTTCTCAGTCTTACCTATCAACTCGTACACAGGCTTGCTTGAGAAAAGCATGGCTGTGCATTAAAAGGAAAAGCAAAGCAGCTGGGACCTACAGGGAAGGGCTGGAAGCCTGGCTCAGTGCTAACTGCCTGAGCTTCCAGTGTTCTCACCTCCGGAGGGGGACGGCTTCAACCCTTTCTCTGGCTCAACCTCAGCTTACACCGAGGAAACAAGGAGCTCCTCTGGCCTGGGCATCACCTGTGGGGCAGACTGCACCCCATCACAAACCAGGGCATGCCAAAGAAGAGGGGACTCGTCTCACGTGGCGCTGCACCCTCAGATCCTGTCTCTGGCGAGAATGGGTCTCAGTCATAGCCCCTGCAGGCAGGTGCACGGGGAGCAACATTAGAACAGGGACAGATGCACATCTTAGTGGCATTCTCGTCCCTGGCCACTAAATATGTCTAAAGCTTCACTGTGAAAATTAAATCAGACTTCTGTATCCCTCCGTTCAGACACTTAAAAAAATCTCAATGTGCAGCCAGCCAATCAACAAACTCTGAACCTACCTACCCTGTTCCAGCTGCTGGGCCATGACTGTGGTGCAGGCCCTGAAGTGATTACAGTTTAGATACAGAAGGAAAGAGGCTGTCACTTTTATTCCAGAACTCTTCCTAATCTATTACTCTGCCCATCGCGCTGTGAAAGGAGAGGAGCTGAAAGGGTGACTTTTATTTCCACATGTTGTAAATTCCCCTTCTTTAGCATGAATTCCTACACTGGCCCCAGCCTCATCCCCCACTTGCTTTGGGATGCATACCAACCATGAATACAAAGTTGGGAGAAATGATTTCCTTCTTCTTTTTTTTTTTTTTTGCATTGTTAAGTCAATGAGAGCCAATTTGAAATTTAACTCTTCCAAAAACGGCGTCAGCCACAAAGGTAACTCCCAAGTGAATGAAACAGTTTCTCCACCAAATCTTAAGCAATGGAACACCTCACAGCCCGGGTTGTGGTAGGGCCACCCAAGTGGGTCAGGATCCTGCCCTCTCTGGGGTGGGGCCAGGGCCAGGATACTTACTTCAGATGCCTTATCAAATACAGGTTGAACACCCCAATTGAAAAATCTGGAATCTACTTTTGTGAGTGTGATCATGAAGTCACAGCAGAAAATGTCACACCATGAAACTTTGCTTCAAGCACCAATTGAAGACATTATGTAAAATTATCTCCAGGCCATGTACATATGATATATAGATTTAAGTTACTTCTGGGCTTAGACTTGGGTCCCACCCCAAGATATCTCATTGTATCCATGCAAATATTCCAAAATCCACAAAACTCTGAAATATGAAACACTTCTAGTCCCATGCATTTAGATAAGGGACACTCAAGCTGTAATAGCATACCAAACTCTAAGACAAATCAAGCTAAAAAAAAAAAAAAGACTTCATTAGGAAATTGTGTGGCGCAGTGGTCTGCAGTGCAGCATCCCATATGGCTGCCAGTTCGAGTCCCTGCTCCTCCACTTCCAATCCAGCTCCCTGCTAATGCGACTGGGAAAGCAGTGGAAGGTGGTCCAAGTCCCTGGGCCCCTGCACCCATATGAGAGACCCAGATGAAGCTCTTGGCTGTGGCCTTGGCCCTGCACTGGCTGTTGTGGCCATCTGGGGCCATCTGCCTTTCAAATAAATAAATATTTTATCTTTTTTTAAAAGGAAACTATTTGGGCCAATACTCTGGTAGAGCCTTATCTACTAAAACAAAGGGACCTACTTCGGCAGTCTCTTCCTACCACCTTAGCTGCGGTACCTGTGTGCAGGTGGCCGCAGCTAGCCTTACCTGTTGTACATGTAGACGTGGACTCGGCTGGCCTGGAGCGCCGAGTCCAGGTGTTGAAGGAGTGCTTCTGTGGTCAGGACATCAGCACCTTCTTCTTTCGGGGTCTGGATCATGAGTTGAGGATTGAACATAGCCTCTTCCCCAATCTTCTGGCGAGTATAATTTAATTCACGACTCACTCGTCCACCAACTGACAAACACGGACAGAGCGCAATGAGAACCACCACCACCACCACCAATTCCCATTCTGTCCCTGGGACATGCAATCAATGAACGCTGGTCGTGAAACTCGCTGACGCTTCGCGCAGTGACAGTCACTTTACTGACAGCCATGCTCACTCTGATAACAAACAGAAAAAGGACTCACTAGGCCCCTCAAAGGGTGTCCTGCCTGGCTCATACCCAGACCTAAGGCACGGTGCTTTGTACACATTCTAACCAACCACACCGCACGCACGGACAAAGGGGAGAGCGGAAGGAAAACTCAGAGGCTTTATTCTGCAGACCAGACTCAGTAACCCTGCTACAATTTCTTTCACTTGTATAAACAGTGTGCCCCTGCGGCCCACTGCGGGAGTAAATGGCTTCAATTTACACTCTTCTCCCAAGTCCTGTGGCAAAGGTAACAAGGAAATGTTTCTCTGCTGTGGAAAAAGAAACAAGGAAAGGTAGCCAGCAGGTTTAACACAGAGTTGCCAGCACACGAGATTCCAGTCCCATGCACAGGGGAAACCCCACTGGAGAGCAACAAAATGCATTAGTCAGGGCGGCCATGGGCGCTCCCTGGGACCTGGTTCTATCAGAGTCACCTGGTCAGTGTCCAGAAAACACAGGTGCTGAGTCATCTGCGGATTCTGAACCTACTGGGGAGGCTGAGAAGCCCCACCCTACCCCACCCCACCTCAGCCTGGCTCTCCAGCAGGCTGTCAAAACGGAAGGCGTGCTAGAAACCAGTGACAGCAAGGAGACCCAGGTGCCCAAGCCATGCACATTGCAACCGCCAGCCGCTGCTGTCTCTCCCTTGCCCTTCTCTATCTCCGGGCCTGGGGTTAGAGTCAGTCATGGTGTTGTACCAAGCCAGGCTCAGCATGGTGCACCTGCACGGGAAGACAGTTGCAGAAGGAGGGTGCTGGTGTCTCCTCGCCCCATACTCCAGTCCTGAAGTCACGGCTAAGTTGAATGCTCTCTGAAAAGCAGGCCTCCAGCTATGGCTTAGAAAGGACTTGGTGATCGTCGCTTTCCCACGAGGAGGAATCCTTTCTCCCCAAGTTTAGTATTCAAGGGCGTAAACATTTGGTTTGGGCAAGTAAATAAGTACTGGGAACAGCGGGGTGTTTCGTCCTCTTGGCATATTTTATAAACACGGGGACAGGCTACAAAGCAAGTAATGCCCTCATTAGGAAACCAGTGCAGACTCACAGACTGGCAGGACCCCCGGCGCAGGTTCGCGTAGATGCCAAGGCCACCGCAGGGCGCTGCGAGGTGAGGTTGCGGGGGGCGGGGCGGGGGGCCGGGTGGTGTATGAAGCGCATTCTGCATGCCGCAAAGGCTGTCAAGAGCCCTGGGGGGAGTGGCGGAGGGTTTTGCAAGCAGATTTGAAGTTAGAGAGAGGTCCCAGGCAAAGGCTCCGGACAACCTGCAACAGAAGGGGGCTGGCCCTCTCCAGGGGCCCTCCCAAAGCCTCCTGAGGGCAGGGGCTGGCTCATTCTGGCAGGGAATCACTTTCTACCAGGCCGACTCGTGGCCAAGTAACTAATGAACTGAAGTGAACGCAATACACATCCTCCAAAGGCAGGGACGCTGAGGCTAAAAAGCCAATTAGTAGTCCAGAGGTGGCTTCTAAGAGCTGCATGGAACTGCTCACCAAGGAGCTGGGCCCAGCCCTGCCCGATGTCCCTAGCAGCCATCCACACTGCCACCTGCCTATCTGAACGTCTGCCTACAAGGCTGCCTTTCTTAAAGCTTACAACTTCAGGCAACTTAAAACCACAAGGCCCACGTACACTCACACAAGGGGATCAGCGCTGTGGCACAGCACGTAAAGCCGCTACCTGCAGTGCCGGAATCCCATGTGGGCGCCGGTTTGAGTCCCGGCTGCTCCACTTCCCATCCAGCTCTCTGCTGTGGCCTGGAAAAGCAGCAGAAGATGGCCAAGTACTTGGGCCCCTGCACTCACGTGGGAGACCCGGAAGAAGCTCCTGGCTCCTGGCTTCAGATCAGCCCGGCTCCGGCCCTTGCAGCCATTTGGGGAGTGAACCAGTGGATGGAAGACTCTCTCTCTCTCTCTCTCTCTGCCTCTCCACTCTCTGTGTAACTCCGACTTTCAAATAAATAAATAAATCTTATAAAAAAATGCACAGATGTCCCATTTTTTGACACCAAATACAGTTCTAATTCCACTTTTCCACGAACTTTTTGAAGTCCTTGTGTACAAGGAAAAAGATTTTGTTCTAGAAGCACAGAACAGAGCAGTGGAAGGGGATGGCGAACAGGTGCAGGGTGCAGCTGGACTGGGGGGGACAACCAGAGGTTTGGTAGCACAGTAGGGTCACTGTGGTCGCCAACAACGAATAGGTCTACTCCAAAACCCCTCACACAGAGCATTTTGAATCTTCCCAAGGAGAGGCTGAATGTACACAATGATGGATATGCCAGCCGCCCTCCTCGGGTCACTGCACATTGCACCTCTATATTGAAATGCCACCCTGAGGGCGGGCATCCAGCCCAGCAGGGAAGACACTGCTTGAGACACTGCAGTCCTGATTCTGCTGCGGACCCAACTCCCCGTGAATGAGCACTTTGGGTAAGATAGCAGGGGATGGCTCAAGTGCCTGGGTTCCTGTCACCCACACAGAAAGCCTCCGTTGAGTTCCTGGCACCTGGCTTGGGCCCTGCCCAGCTCCAGCTGCTGTGGGCATCTGGGGAGAATGAACCAGCAGATGGGAGCTTTTCCTCTGTCTGTCTCTCTTCCCCTCTCTGCCTTCCAAATAAAATAAAATAAATAAAAATGAGAACCACCACACTGTACAGTACACGTATATACATGCATATTACATGTACGCCCAATTTATGACAATTACAATGAAAAAGGGATGCATTTTTTAAAAAATAAGAAACCCATGAGGCACAACCCAATTAACAACACAGTGCTTTCTCACCAGCAGACCTCAGCTGCGAGTGCGCGCACACACACACACACACACGCCAGCTGCCTGTAACCACACGACTCACGAGGTGACAAACCAGGAGACGCACACACACCAGCAATAACAAAGACAAATGCATGGGCCCCGCCGCGAGAACTGTGCTCTGCACTCTTCCAGTCCAACCTCGGAATGGAACTTTTCTCACAGGGCTTTCCAGAACGGCTGCTATTCCCTACAGGATATCCCGAGTACCCCTGCGGCTTCATGATGTCACCTTCTGAGAAGGTGCTGGAAAAACGCTCACTCTAACTAACCAAGGTGCATGTGTCTCTGGAATGGGAAACCATTTTGCTCTGCCACCTCTTCTCCAGTGGTAGAACATGAGCATCTGGCCACAGTGACGACCAGGGTCACCCAAGGCAAGTTGAACTTCGTGGGCTGGCCACGCGGCTGGCATGCACACCCTGAACTCTGAAGCTTCTCAACCAGTTAGGCTGAATCCCAGGAGCCTACGACTGCTCTTACGTCGATTCTGACATCGTAGATGGCTGTATTTCACCTAGCAGTTCATTCTGCATTTAACCAAACACGAATGGTTTTGCAAAGTGACTTAATCATTCTAGCAAGGTTTCCTTGCCACCCACTTCACACGGCCATCCATCCTAAGACGATCCGTGCAGCCAGCATGCATTTGCGGGCGTCAACTTCACACTAAGCTGGGCAGATGGCACCAGGATGCTCGCTGCTGTTTCAAGAAGCACTGGGAAAGCCAGCCAGCCAGTAAGGCCATTTTGGCATGGCAAAGTGCCAGGAGGGACCTAACGATGGTGGTGCCATGTTGAATGGAGGGTCAGGGAAGACCTAAAAGGGGCCTTTGAGGAGCGGAGGGAACAGCACTCTGGGGAGAGGACCAGCCACTGCAAAGCCCTCAGGTTTGGCTCAGAGCAGGGCAAGAGGAGTCAGGCGTGGCTGAGCCCGGTGAGGCCATGATGATGTCACCCCCTCACTTGCACCGCTGGACTTAGCTCCTTCTCGGGTATACCCAGGTCATAAACTGCACAGCATTCATAGGGTCTTACATCAGTATTCACCTAATCACGGGGGAGCAGGCTACGAGAAAAACGAAGCCCCGCGCACACAGCAACTTGAAGGACTTCTCCGACTTTGGCTACCTTGGCAAACGCCTATCCTAACTCACAGCTCAACGACAGCCCAGAGCTGGCCATCACCCTGCTGTCTTCCTGGTCATCCACAGTGCAGTGTCCCACAGGACTCCTTCCTGGTGACTGAAATTACAGTCATGCTCTGGGAGAAAGAATTTTCTCCCTTCTCGTTGCCATTTTCAAGGTCCGAGTCCTTCTTAGATCTCTATTTAAAAGAGAGGAGGAAGACGACTAAGGGACAGAATGAACCATGAATGGCTATGGGTAAGATATTAGCTTACCCAAAGCTAAGATATGGGCTATGCAGGTGCAGGGACCCTCTCTACCCGCCTCCCTCCATCGTGGTCTCTCTAATATTGCTCAAGGGACTTCACAAAGTTTCTGGAAAATGGAATCGAAAGGTTTGTTGTGGTGCAAAACATTCCAAAATCCATGCAGTTTTCTCATAATGTGCAATTCCTTGGGCTTTCCATGAAGAGCCTTCATAGCATGGACAAAAAAAAAAAAAAGAAAAAAAAAGAAAGACAAAGGAATGTGAAAGCTGTTTGGTAGGGATCTGAACTACATACACACTCAATGCAAAAATAACAAGTGTATCTCCGTCAAAAAAATATTTACACCTACTTGAAAGGCAGAGTGGCAGAGAGAGAGATATTGAGATCTTCCATCTATGGGTTCACTCCCCAGATGCCTGCAACAGCCAGGGCTGGGTCAGGGTGCAGCCAGGAGCCCACGACTCTATCCAGGTCTCCTAAGTGGGAGGCAAGAGCCCAGGCACTTAGGCAGCATCTACTGCCTCTCAGGATACCCATCAGCAGGGAGCTGGATGGGAAAAGTGAGGAGGTGAGACTTGAACTGGGCCATTTGGATATGGGATGTGG